AACCTTTCAATATAAGGACCTATGCCAGCAGCCCAGTTATCACAATTTACACTGAGAGTTGAAATCTCCACCATTCTATTAAATAATATAGTCCAATAGTCCCAGAAGTGCATTCACGGGTGCTGTCAGGTAATCACAAAGCAATACAATCTGATCTATCATCAGTTATTCTTTCCTTTTCAGTACCTTTGATACCAGGATTTCTAATAGGAAACATATTAGTAGGAAAAATAATGCAGTGAACAAAAAGAATGAAACATTTAACTTGAGTTGTTGCAGCCCACTGCAGTAATTGATAAGATTTGGGTTGCTCTGCCTCTTTCTTGAGTTAAATGCTGGAACACCTAGGAGGTTAATATAAGTTTGCACACATGATATTTCCACCCTCAATAAACATTACTTTCTTTTCCAAAGATAGCAAAACTTGCACATATAAAATCACTGATTGGTTAATGGTTTACTTCTTACTTCACTACATTTTCAGACTTGTACTGTTCGATAACATTGTGATACATTTAAAACATTTTCGTCTGTCAGATTAAACCACTTTAGATTTCCATTTCAAGCCTACCGACTCCCACAGCTACCTAGAATACACCTCCTCTCACCCACCTTCCTGCAAAAATGCCATTCCCTATTCCCAATTCCTCGCCTCCGCCGCATCCGCTCGCAAGATGAGGCATTCCAATCCCGGACATCCCAGACGTCCTCGTTTTTCAAGGACCACAACTGCCCCTCCACAGTGGTCAAAAACACCCTCGACTGCATCTCTCACGTTTCCTGCAACTCATCCCTCACACCCCCTCCCCGCAATAACAACAAAAACAGAATCCCCCTCATCCTCATGTACCAGCCCACCAACTTCCGGATCCAACGCATCATCCTCCGCCACTTCCGCCACCTGCAATCTGACTCCACTACCAAGGACATTTTTCCCTCCCCACCCTTATCTGCCTTCCGGAGGAACTACTCTCTCCGTGAGTCCCTTGCCCGCTCCATACTCCCCACCAGCCCCACTGCCCCCGGCACTTTTCCCTGCAACCACAGGAAGTGCTACACCTGCCCCTACACCTCCCCCCTCACCCCCATCCCAGGCCCCAAGAAAACCTTCCACATTAAACAGATGTTCACCTGCACATCTGCTAATCTGGTATACTGTATCCGCCGTTCCCGATATGGCTTCCTCTACATTGGGGAACCAAGCGGAGGCTTGGAGACTGCTTCGTGGAACACCTACGCTCGGCTCGCGACAAACGACTGCACTTACCAGTCGCGAACCACTTCAACTCCCCCTCCCACTCCTTGGACGACATGTCCATCCTGGGCCTCCTCCAGTGCCACAACGATGCCACCTGAAGGTTGCAGGAACAGCACCTCATACTTCGCTTGGGAACCCTGCAGCCCAATGGTATCAATGCGGACTTCACAAGCTTCAAAATCTCCCTGCCCCCGACCGCATCCCAAAACCAGCCCAGCTCGTATCTTCCTCCCTAACCTGTCCATCCTTTCTCCCACCTATCCACTCCTACCACGTCAACCCCCACCCCAACCTCCTACCTACCAGCCTCATCCCCGCCTCCTCAACCTGTCCTTCTTCCCTTGACTGCCCAATCCCCACCCTAACTCCCCATCTACACTCACCTTTACTGGCTCTATCCCCGCCTCCTTGACCTGTCCGTCTCCTCTCCACCTATCTGCTTCTTTATCCATCTTCCATTCGACTCCCCCTCTTTCTCTACTTATTTCAGAATCCCCTTCCCCTCCCCCATTTCTGAAGAAGGGTCCAGACCCGAAACGTCAGCTTTCCTACTCCTCTGATGCTGCTTGACCTGCTGCGTTCATTCAGCTCTACACCTTGTTATCTTAGATTTCCACTTTCTGTCTTTACTCCTTCCAACCAAACAGGTCCTGGATTTATTTTTAAAAATTTGAAAATGCTCTGGCTTACGTGAAGAGCACATAACTTCTACATTCTTGATTCGGAAAGGCAAGCCTCATTTTGATTAGTTTTCTTATATAATCAACAGAGTGCATTACTTATAATATGAATTCCCTTTTTGATACTGTTCACATATCAGAGAACAACCTGATAGAACATGTCATTGGTAAGATACAACAATGGCCTATTTTGCCCCCACCGGTCCTTAACCTTGGATCACTAATCCAGGCAGCAGTAGCTAAAAAGGCCACTGCCAAAAATCCTTGATCTGGGTAGACATACTTGGGTTAAATTTTCTACTGATGGACCCAGTCCAAAAGCAGGACTTGCAGTGGGTCAGGTACCCAAATGGTAAAGGAGTGGGCCATCCAGGGTAATGAAGGCTTCTGCTTGACTTTGAATGGAAACAACTTCGGCTCACCCCACCCATTGCTCAGTACAGGTTGCCCATCAGCTCAGACATCAATGCATTACCTGATCTAGTCGACCTCAATATTAAGAGAAACTAGAGCTTGGAAGCCTTTGTGCTGTTCTGAGTGATTCATTTCAGTGTTTAGTCTCTAGTGCACTTTTTTATTGGTTTCTGTTTCACTTCACATGCATTTGGACATGTGAGTGTCCAGAAATTTGTGGAACTACATGAGGCCCATCCCGTTTCTATTGTTTGGTATCTATGATGGAATGCTTCCTGACCCTGCACAAGAGAGCACCTTAACTTCTCAAACTCAACTCTTCCCTTGTGATAGACTGAATCCCCCTCAATCACCATAAATGGTCTTATAGCTTATTTTGGCCTCCAGTCTGTCTGCCTCCAGCAGTCATGGTTAACCCACTCACTTTTTCTGCAGATCTTCCTGCTCTTTCCCCGTGTCCATATCCATTAGGTTCCTCATGCCCCCTAAACCTGATACCACCCCCTTATCCATTTCATCTGCTGCTTCACCCTCACAAGCACACAACATGAGACCTTTCATTTCTTTATGTTAACATGCAACTCTGCTTTCCATCCACAGATTGCGCCAGACCTGCGAAGTTTCTACAGCAATTTCTGTTTTTGTTTCAGATATATTTAAATAAGACCATAAACTGTAAGGTGTAGATGAATTAGGCCACTCAGTACAGTGAGTCTGCTCTGCCATTCGATCATAGCTGACAAGTTTCTCATTCTCCTGCCTTCTCTCCATAACCATGGATCCCCTTACTAATCAAGAACCTATCTATCTCTGTCTGAAATACACTCAATGACTTGGCCTCCACAGTCTTCTGTGGCACAAGTTTCACAGATTCACAGCACTTTGGCTGAAGAAATTCATCCTCATCTCAGTTCTAAAGAGTCGTCCTTCACTCTGAGGCTCAGGTCCCAGACTCTTCTAGTAGTGGAAACATCTTCTCCATGTCCACTCTATCCAGGTCTCTCAGTATTCTTTCAGTTTTAATGAGATACCCCTCATCTTTATAAACTCCATCAAGTACAGGCCCAGAGTCATCAGCCACTCCTCATATGATAACCCATTCATTCCAGGATTATTCTTGCAAACATCCTCTGGACCCCCTCTAATGCCAGCACATTCTTCCTTAGACATGGTGCCCAAAACTACTCACAATATTCCAAATATGGTCTGACCAGACACTCACACATCCTCAGCAGTGCAACCCTGCTCTTGTATTCTAGCCTTCGTGCAATAAATGCCGACAATAAATGCTTTCCTAACTGCCAACTGAATCTGCATGTTAACCTTGAGAATCTTGAACTAGACCTCCTAAGTCCCTTTGTGTTTTGGATTTCTGAAGCCTTTCCCCATTTAGAAAATAGTCTACACTTCTGTTCTTCTTACCAAAGTGCATAACCTAACACTTTCCTGTAATGTATTCCATCTGCCATTTCTTTGGCCATTCTCCTAGACTTTCCAAATCCTTCTGCTTCCTCATCACTACCTGTCCCTCCACCTATCTTTGTGTCATCTACAAACTTTGCAACAATGCCCTCAGTACCTGTGGCTAGTTTGTAAATTGATTTACATTTCAAATATTACAACAGTAGAAGCATGCAATCAATGTACTCCATCATAACTGTCCAGGCTTATATTTTAATCTTTTCCAAACGCCAATTCAAGGCTAGAAGCCAAAAACTAGAATTCATTTGGATGCCCTCTGAATGCATCTTCACAACTGCGACAGGTGCAATCTGCATTCTCAACCACTTCCTGCGTAACTGTCAGAAAATCAGCTTTCGTTTAGGTTTCACATACGGATTGTTTCTGAGTGTTTTTTTCTAAGGAAAACACTTTGTATTCCGAAAATTGAAAAGAAAATACCTAAAACACTAATAGCAGCCTCTGAGTGGCATTGTTTAGAATCGATAAATGTGCTACGTTATAGCAGACAGGGTGTTATTTTAACAGGAATGCATTGTCGTATCAAGATCTCTGACAGTGATTGAATCATTTCCTTTTTAGAGTCATAAGATCTACAGCGTAGACAAAGGCACTTTGGCCCATCGCATCCGTGTTGGTCAAAAATAACCATCTAACAATTCTAATCTCATTTTTCAGCACATGTCCCATTGTCTTGGATGTCTTGGCATTCCAAATGTACATGTAAATTCTTCTTCAATGTGATGAGGGTTTCTGCTTCTCCCACCCTTACAGGCAGTGAGTTCCAGATTCCCACCACCCTCGGGGTGAAAACATTTCTCCTCACATCCCCACTAAACCTCCTGCCCCTTATCCTAATCCTATACCCCTTGGTCCCTCCATCAAGGGGACCAATTTTACTAAGCACCAAATGCATCGAGAAGCGAATCCCCACAATTTCTAGTGTTCTGTGAAATCCACAGATGAGTGTTATCTTTGTTTTATTTACAGCTGGTTGAGCGCTGGCTTACATGACTCAGAAGCGCCTGATGACAAGTGAAACCGACACTGAAAGGTTGGCGATGACACATTCAGGAGGAAATTCTCTTGCAGCAACTACTGAAAGAAGGCTTTTTTTTCCCACCGAGGCCTGCAGCTACTGGGCCGCGCGTTGCTAGGCACCCCCTCCCCCGCCCCCGCCCCCGGGGCGCCGTCAAGGCCCATGTGAGCGCGCGCCAGTTTCCGTGACGCGCTTCCTTCCGGTGGCAGGTCACGAGACGCTGGCGGAGTTGGAGCGAACGGTGGTAAGTCTGTCCGTCCGACGGCCGTCAGCACCGGGGTCAGTCACTCAGTGTACGGTTACCTCTCAGGCAGGATACCGTGGGGTGAGGGAGGATGGGGACCTTGAGAGGAGGCGGCTGTTCATGGTCAGATAGCCCGGCAACTCTAGCCGCCATTGTCCTGGAAGCAACTGATCCTGTTTTGCTGACGTCAGATTGAGTGGAAGGAGGAGGAGGAGGAGGAGGAGGGGGGGAGAAATATTACGTGGGGAATGAGACAAGATGTGTGGGGCATAACGAGAACAGACTTGGGCATGAGGGAAAATGAGATGGGGGAGCAGGTTGACTGTGGGAAATATCTTTCTAAGCCAGGAAAGTATGTGACTTTGGAGAGGAACTTGGTGGTGTTCCCGTGTATTTGCTGCCCTTAACCTTCCAGATGAAGTGGTTATGGGTTTGCAAGGTGGTGTATAAGGATCTTATTGGTAGTACTTGCCACTGGTATTGAGCATTAGGGCTGGAGGGAGTGGCTGTGATGCCAGTCAAGTGGGTGGGCTGCTTTGTCCTGGATGGTGTCTAGTTTGTGTTGCTGGAACTGCACTCATTAAGCAAGTGGAGTATTCTGTTACACTCATGACTTGTGCCTTGTAGATGGTGGACAAGCTATGGGGAGTCACTTGATGAGGTATTTGCCACAGTATGCCTATTCTCTAATCTGCTGTGTAGACACTTTATGTGATGAGTCTAGTTGAGTTTCTGGTCTGTAGAAACCCTGAAGGTGTAGATGGTGGGAATTCGTGATGGTAATGCTGTTGAATGTCAAGGGATGATGGTTAGATCCGCTGTTATTGGAGATTGCCCTTGTGAAGGTGTTGGTGGAGTCTTGAACTGCTGGAGTCTCTGTGCTGTAGGCACATCCACAGTGTAGTCAGGGAAGCAATCCAGGAATCTGCCTGGCTGTGACAGCCATCTTGTTAAAGGTTTAGCCTTTGAATTTAGCAGTGCAGATAGAGCATTGTAGTCAATATTTGTTACTGTCCATGATTCCATTTCAACTGGTCTGAATGAAGTCACGGCAGCCATTGCTTATAGTTTACCACTGCCAAATTCTGCTTGCCTTTTTTAGCCTTCATGGGAGTAAGTGGGATTGTTCTGCTTTTTGTGTACAGGACGTACCATGCTAATTTTCTACGTTGGGTAGTTGGCAGTGTTGTATCTGCACTGGAAGAACTTGGCTAGGGCAGTGGCAGGTTCAGGAACACAAGTCTTCAGTACTATTTCCAGAATGTTGTCAGGGCCTGTAGCCTTTGCAATATCCAATGCTTCCAACTGTTTCTTGATATCACATGGAGTGAATTGAATTGGTTGAACACTAGTATCTGTAAAGCTGGGGACCGCAGGAAGAGGCCGAGATGGATCATCCACTTGGCACTTATGGCCAAAGACTGTTGCAAAAAATTCACCCTTGTCTTTTGCACTGATGTATCGGGCTCTTCTATCATTTGAGGATGGGGATGTTTGTTGAGCTGCTTCCTCCAGTGAGTAGTTTAATTGTCCACCACCATTCACGACTGGATGTGGCAGGATTGCAGAGCTTGGGTCTGATCTGTGGGCTGTTGGATTGCTTAGTTCTGTCTGTCACTTGCTACTTATGCGCTGTTTGTCTTGCAAGTAGTCTAGTTTGGTAACATCACCAGGTTGATGTCTCATGCTGCTCTTGGCATACCCTTCTGCACTCGTTGAGCCAAGATTGATCCCCTGGCTTGATGGTAATGAATGACTGGGGACATGCCAGGTCATAAGGTTGCATTTGTGCTGGAGTACAATTCTGCTGATGGCCCACAGCACCTCATGAATGCCCAGTCTTGAGTTCCTGGATCTGTTCAAAATCTGTCCCACTTAGCATGGTGATAGTGTATGGAGATTATTATCAATGCGAAGGCAGGACTTTGTCTCCAGAAAGAGGTCACTCTCTCCGATACTGTCATGGACAGATGCCTCTACAGCCAGCAGATTGATAAGGATGAGGTCAAGTATGTTTTTGGTTCCTTCACCTGTCGCAGATTCCATGTAGCAGCTATGTCCATTAGGAGCCAACTTGCTCGATCAGAAGTGCTACTGCCAAGCCACTTTTGATGGTAGACATTGAAATCCTCCATCCAGAGTACATTTTGCACCCTTGCCACCTTCAGTGTTTCCTCCAAGTGTTGCTCAACATGGGGGAGTACTGATCCATCAACTGATGGGGGACAGTATGTGGTAAGCAGCTGGAGGTTTCCTTAGCCATGTTTAACCTGAAGTCATCAGACTTCATGGTTTCTAGAGTCAATGTTGAGGAATTCCTGGGTAACTCTGTAGATCGCATATGACTGTGCTACCACCTCTGCTGCGTCTGTCCTGCTCGTGGGATATAACCTATTTAGTGATGGTGTCTGGTATGATTCTGTGAGGCTTATGGTTGACTAGTCTGTGAGATAGCCTTCCCAAATTTGGTACGAGCTCCTGCATAGAGGACTCCTTACTAAGAGGGCTTTGCAGTCTTGACAGGGCTGTTTCTGCTGTTGTCTTTTCTGGAGTCTATGCCAATGCCAAGTGGTTGTCAGGTTTCATTTCAGTTTTGGGAGATTTTGGTTCATACGTTGAGAAGATACCAGTAACTAGAGGCAGTGTCTTCTGTTCTTTTCTATGCTGTCTCTTCTATTGTTCCACAAGGATCTTTTCTCTTTTATGTGCACTCATTGACCTCACCTGCAGATAAAAGGTCAGTTGTGCGCTGACCTCTTCCCCACTTCTTGGAATTGTGGAGTCTTGGAACTACCAGGCTTTGGATAAGTTTCACATTATTTAGATTAATAGTTGAAGACCAAAAGCATCATCCTTAGCTGATCAAAATTTATCACCTGTCTCCAGCTGCCCTGTCAGACTGAACCAGTGTGCCTGTACTCTTGACATCCAATATTTCCCAGTTTTCAAACCCATGTGAGATTGCTCATTTAGTTCTGCAGTGTTTCCTATGTCTTATTGAGGTCCTAACATATACCATAATATCACTAGATCTGACTGTTCTTAATGCTCTCTTACCAGCCGCCTCTCATTTCTTAAACTATGGAACCTAATCTCTGCATCACTGATTTCTCAATTACTGTCCTCATTTTCACTGATGTTAATGTAAAGTGTGAAATGCAACAACTAATTTGTGCATAACACATTTTCGCAAGGAGCAGTTAGGTAATGTTCTTTGAGCCTGGGTGTCAGAATTAGGGCACTCGCAGCACTGAAGTCAGTTTAGACATTTGTTCTTAGTCTTAGAGTGGAACTTGAACTTAACCTTCCAGAGCAGGTGCAGGAGTGCTGCCTGCTGAACCATGGCTGTCGTTCTTTTCTGTTTTCCCTCTTTCTCAACTTTTTCTAAAGTCTTTCTAGATATCTTTATTCAGAGCAAAATCCTAGAGAACTTGTGCTATACTCTGTCTCTTTCCTCGCTGTTTTTATGTGGAGCATAAATTATGGATTCTCTTTCTGTGCAAATTGCTGAGCCCATCATACTTAAATTGCACGGTAATGGAAATTGTTTACATGGGTATCAGTTTTCTCACGAACCTTGTACAGACTTGTTAGCTATTATTCATATATCTTCACCCAAAATGGATTTATTTATGTTGCTTTCCTGGGAACTGATTCACACTGCATTTTTGATCATTATGGGCTATCTTGCATTGTAAAAAGCCTGTCCATTAACTAAATATACATGTGTATATTCCCATGATTAAAGTAATGCATTTTTAATTATTTTTGAGCTGGATCTGTAAGCTTTAAGTGCTAGTGGTGCTTCTGTGTTTGTGAAAGTGTTACTGCAACATTGGAATTTACTCCAGTTCATCTGCATTTGCAGTCTAAATGCTGAAGATATTCTTGACAAAATTGAGACAATTTCAACCTCCTTGCCCAATATCAGTATGGTCAGTTGTGTTATGTTTAGTTCCCTGAAAATTTTACACCTGGAAGATAAGGAACGAGTGAGATATCTCTTCCATAAGAAAACAATCATTACTTTTCATGCTTGAAAGTAAGGTGTCAATTTCTGCAATATTTGAAAATAGATATTTTATGTGCAATGTGTGAAAAGGTAATTTGTAATATCTTAGATCTCAAATGTATGCTAAACAACATTTTTTTTCCTCTTAAGGCTTTTACATTTGTGTAAAGATGTCTTTGTACCCGTCCTTAGAAGACCTTAAAGTGGACAAGGTGATCCAGGTAAGTGGAAAAGGTAACATTTGCCTATTAAGGTTCCTTTTATTGTGCATGATATGACCCAAGAGGAGAAAGAGGTTGAGAAACAGAAGAATTTTAGAGAGATTTCAAAGTTTGAGATTGAGGCGACTGTATGAACAGTCGATGTTCAGACAGCAGATTGAGAGCAAGGGACTAGGATCAGAGGACTGCTGAGATTTTCAAAATGATGTGTTGGTGTGTTATAGGTGGTTCCAGAGGTTGGTAAAGCAGCACTTGTGTTTTTTAGACCCATTGGCTGGTTTTAATATTTTTGAAACAAAAACAAAAGTTGCTGGAAAAACTCAGCAGGCCTGGCAGCACCTGTGAAGAGGAATGAGAGTTAATGTTTCAGGTCCAGTGACCCTTCCTCAGAACTGAATATTTTTTGTCTTATTAAATACAGTGATAGACTTTGTTTTATTCTAAAAAGGTAGCCTGTGTATTCTTGATCAATAATCAAAGTAAAATGAATAGTTTCTATAAGTCTGCATCTTTTGTTCTCTATGATTTCCAGCATTTTCCATTAAGAGAAATTACATTGTGAAGTTACCCTGCAAGATTACCATTCCCTATTAGGGGGAAAGACTGATTCCAATTTTTTTTTTTTTGATATACAACGTTCATTAAACTCTTTGGTTGCTGATTGCTTGAATTAAATAGCAATCATTTGCTTGTACTTCATGTGCCTCCTGTCACCCAAGAAGTCAAAGGTAAAGTGCAAGATGAGGAAACTATCTGAAAACAAAAGAAATGGAGTAATGTATGTGAAGCAGAAGAGTAAAATAATGTTATTTTATTTGTGATTTAAAAAATAAGGGATGTGCAACTGGTTGCATTAGTTTTTTGTAATCTGACTTGACATTTACCACCAAACGTTATTACATAAAAGACACCAAAGATCCTCAGACAGCACCTTCCAAACCCACGAACACATCCATCTAGAAGGACAAGGGCAGCAGATATATGGGAACACCACCACCTCCAAGTTCTCCTCCAAGTTGCTCACCATCCTGACTTATATATAATTGCTGTTCCTTCGCTGTTGCTGGGTCAAAATCCTGGAATTCCCTCCCTAACAGCATTGTGGGTTAACCCACAGCAGGAGGAATGCAGCGGTTCAAGAAGGCAGCTCACCATCACCTTCTCAAGGGTAACTAGCGATGGGCAAGAAATGCTGGCTCGCCAGCGATGCCCACATCCCACAAAATGAATTTTTTTTTAAAAAAATTCTTTTAGCAGGCACCCTTATGGTTTCTCAGTGATGTTACTAATGTTAGTGGTAGTCATATACTTTGGACCCATGCAAATTATGAAGCTTTTCAAAGTCTTTTTGCAAAGTCTCTCCATCTTAGTAAACCTATACTGAATCTAAACCCTGATCTGAAAGCTGAAGAATGGTCACTGGATTCAAAATGTTAATCCTGATTTCTCTCCACAGATGCTGCCTGACCTGCTGAGATTTTTCAGCAATGTCTGTTTCTGCCTCAAAGCTGATCTGTTGAAAATGTAGTTTCCTTTGCATAGAAATATAGCAAAGAATAGAACTAAAGAGTGCAATCCATCGAGTTCCTGTAAATTTTATTTACTTTTTTGTTTCTGTACTGTTTCCAATGTCTCCCTCTATAGTCTGTTGCATGCGTTCACTATCTTTTTGAATTAGTTATGTCTGGAGTTTAGCCATGTCCCTAGGTTTGAGAAATAGTAACATGTTCAAAAATACGTTGACGTTCAAATTTCCCTGAAGAACAATATCTCCTGTGGGATTTTTCCATTTCAGAAAACAATGCCAGATTTCCAGCTGAGAAGTCTCTTACCTGTTATCAGTTTGCCTGTTTATCCACTGTCTTTGGTATTTTAGTCAGAAAAGAATTATGTGGTATCTAGATGTAACTGTACCAATATCTGTACAAACAGAAATTTGTGCACCCTTCTGCAGGTGCAATGTTAGAAGATTTGGTTAGTTTTCTTTCCTATTTACAAGCTGTTGATTTCAGTGAGCCTACTTTATATTTCAATGTCAACAGGTTTCCGAAAAGAGACAGAACATAGAACAATACAGCACAGGAATGAACCCTTCAGCCCACAATGTTGTACTAAATGCCAAATTAAACTAATCCCTTCTGCCTGCCCTTGGTCCATGTCCCTCCATTCCTAGCAAATTCATGTGCTTATCAAACGAAAGTCCCTTAAACGCTCCTATCATATCTGTCTCCACCACCACCTCTGGCAATGTGTTCCAGACACCTACCATTCTCTGTGTAAACAAAAAAAAACTTGCCCCTGACATCTCTTTTGAACTTTCCCCTCTCGCCTTAAATGTATATCCCCTAGTATTAGACATTTCAACTTTGAGAAAAAGATTGATTGTCAACCCTAACTATGCATCTCATAATTTTATAGACCTCTATCAAATCTCCCCTCAGCCTCCACCGCTCCAGAGAAAATAACCTGAGTTTTTCTAGCCTCTCCTTATAGCACATACCTCCTAATTCAGGCAGCGTCCTGGTAAACCTCTTCTGCACCCTCTCTGAAGCTTCCACATCCTTCTTGTAATGTGACCAAAATTAAATGCAGTACTAAGTAGAGCCTAGCCAAAGTCTTCTAAGGTTGCAACATGACATCCTGACTCTTGTACTCAATTCCCCGACCAATAAAGACAAGCATGCCATATGCCTTCTTTACCACCCTTTCTATTTGCGTGTCCGCTTTCGGGGTTCAAGTCTACAGCTCCCTAAGATCCTCCTGTATATCAGTGCTGTTCAGGTACTGCCATTAACTGTATACTGCATTGGTGGTCATCTTCCAGGATTCTATAGACTCTGAAATAGTCCCTGTAGATTAGAGAGTGGCTAATGTCACTCCAATATTCAAAAAGGGAGATAGAGAAAACAGAATTATAGACCAGTGAGCCTAACATCGATAGTGGGGAAAATTCTCGAATTCGTTGCCAAGGATTTTGTTAAAAGCATTCAAAGTAGTGGCAGGATCAGACAGAGGCAGCATGGATTTATGAAGGGGAAATCATGCTCGACAAATCTGTTGAAATTCTGTGAAGATGATGTAACTAGCAGAGTTGACAAGGGGAAGCTAGTCGATGTAGTCTATTTGGACTTTCAGAAAGCTTTTGACAAATGATTAATGTGCCAGATTAAAGTGCATGGGATTGGGGGAAGTGTATTGAGATGGATAGGAAACTGGTTGGCAGAGAGGAAACAAAGAGGAAGAATTAATGGGCCCATTTCAAATTGGCAGGCAGTAACTAGTGGGGTGCCACAAGGATTGGTGCCAGGACCCCAGCTATTCACAATATATATTAATGATTTGGATTAGGGACCAAAATGTAACATCTCCAAGTTTGCAGATGATAGCAAGTTGGGTGGGAGGGTGAACCATCACGATGATGCAGAGATCCTTCATGATCTCGACAGGTTGGGTGAGTAGGCAAATCAATGGCAGGTGGAGTATAATTTGGATTAACATGAGGTTATTCACTTTGGAAGCAAAAACAAGAAGGGAAATTACTACCTGAATGGCTGTGAATTGGGGGAGAAAGTGTGCAGCAGGACCTGGGCATCCTTGTGCACCAGTTGCTGAAGGTAAGCATGCAGCTGCAGCTGGCAGTAAAGAAGGCAAATGTATGTTAGCCTTCATTGCGAGAGGTTTTGTGTACAGACGCAGAGATGTGTTGCAGTTGTACAGGGCCTTGGTGAGACCACGCCTGGAATATTGTGTGCATTTTTGGTCTTCTTTTGAAGAAGGATGCTCTTACACTCAAGGGAGTGTGGTGAAGGTTTACCAGGCTGATTCTGGGGATGTTGGGTCTGACGTATGAGGGGAGATTGACTAGGTTGGGATTATTTTCACTGGTGTTCGGCTGAATGAGGCGGGGGGGATCTCGAGGCTTATAAAAGTCTAGCAGGACTGGGCAGGATAGAAGCAGAGAAGATGTTCCCAATAGTTGGTGTGTCCAGAACCAGGGGTCACAGTATGAGGATTCAGGGTATACAATTGGAGATGAGATGAGGAGATATTTCTTCCATCTAAAGAGTGGTGCGTCTGTGGAATTCTTTACCACAGGAAGTAGTTGATGCTAAAACATTCAATGTATTCAAGAAGCGACTAGATATAGCACTTGGGGTGAATGGGATTAAGGTTATGGGGAGAAAGCAGGATTAGGCTATCGAGTTGGATGATCAGCCATGATCATGATGAATGGCGGAGGAGGCTCAAAGAGTTGAATGGCCTCCTCCTATTCCTATCTTCTATGTTACATACTTTTCCTTAACATTTGATGTCCCAAAGTGCAGCACCTTGCACTTACCCAGATTAAACTCCCATCTGCCACTTCTCCACCCATATCTGCAACGGATTTATATCCGGCTGTATTCTTTGACAACCTTCTACGCTATCCACCAGTCTTTGTGTCACCTGCAAACTCACTAACCCACCCATCTACATTTTTGTCCAAGTCATTTACGTAATATCATAAACTGTGGAGGTCCCAGTACGGATCCCTGTGGAACACCACAAAACACAGATCTCTAGCTTGAGAAACACCGTTCCACTACCCTTTGCCTTTTATCGGCAAGCCAATTCTGAATCCAAGTGGCCAAGTCACCATGGATCCCGTGCATCTTAATCTTCTGGATGAGCCTACCATGAGGACCTTTTCAAAAACCTTACTAAAATCCATGTAGACAACATCCACTGCTCTACCCTCATTGATCACAGTCATCACTTCCTCAAAAAATTAAATCAAGTTAATAAGACATGACATGCCCCGCACAAAGCCAAGCTGACTGTCCCTAATTAGGCCGTGCTTTTCCAAATGTATGTAAATCCTATCCCTAAGAATTCTCTCCAATAGCTTTCCAACCACTGATGTGAGAGTCACCGGTCTATAATTTCCTGGATTATCCCTATTTTCATTCTTGAACAGAGGAACAACATTAGCTACCTACCAGTCCTCTGGATCTCTCTAGAAGCTAACGAGGATACAAAGATTTTGGTCAAGGCCCCAGCAATCTCCTCCCTTGCCTGTCTCAAAACCTGGGGTAGATACCATTGGGCCCTGGGGACTTATCCACCTTTAATGCTCTTCAAGAGACCGAGTACCACTTCTATCTTGATCTCAAAATGCTGCAGCATATCAGCATGCTCCATACTAATCTCACGATCCTCCATATCCTTCTCCTGTGTGAATACTGACGCAAGGTACTCCTTTAGGATCTCTCCCACATCCTCTGCTTCCAAGATCAAGTTCCCTCCTTCATCCATGAGCGGTCCTACCTTCTCCCTAGTTATCCTCTTTGTTTTTAATACATACATAAAATGCTTTGGGATTCTGCCTGGTTCCCTTAGTGAGCCATTTGAGGTTTTAAGGTCATTGATGATGATTTCATAGTAAATGGACGATTTCAATTTGTCCCAGATTTTTATTGAATTCAAATTTGACCATTTGTCATGGTGGCTTCTCAGCTCATGCCTCCAGAACATTAGCCTCAGTTTCTAATGACATTACCATTAGGCCACTTCATGCCTACAAATGCATTTGTGTTTACTGCAAAACTAAAAAATATCAGAATGCTGAAAGTGATATCATGAGGTTGTTGACTTGCTCACCGAGCTGGCTTGATTTTGTTCAGACGTTTTGTTCCCATCCTATATGGCATCATCAGTGGAGCCTCTGATGAAGCAATGTTATTGTGCTCCGTTTGGAATTTATACTGTCTGGGCCGTAATGGTGAATAGTGTCATTTCTGGTTTTGATCTGTATGGGTTTGTATATGGGATCCAATTCTATACGTTTTGTTGATTGAAGTATGATTCCTAGTGGTCTTGGGAGTCTTGATGTCAGTTCCGATATGTTCTTGAGGTAGGGCAGTGTGGCTAGTGTGATAGGTCATACTGTGTCCTCCTGTTTGTTTAGTAGGCATCTGTGGATGAAGTTGAGGGGATATCTGTTTAGAGCAAGGATTTTGTATAAGTGTTCTTACTCTTTCCTGCATAGTTCTGGAGTGTTGCAGTGTGCCCTGGCCCATTTAAATAGTGCCCTGATGCAGCTTTGTTTGTGGACGTTGGGGTGGTTGCTGTGGAAGTTGAGGATTTGATCTGTATTGGTTGCTTTTCTGTATACTGAGGTTTGGAACTGCCTGTTTGTCAATTGCTCTACTTTAACATCCAGAAACAGAAGTTGATTGTTGTTTGCTTCTTCCCTTGTGAATTTAGTCCTTGTGAATACACTGTTGATGAGGTAGTGGGTCTCTTCTAATTTGTGTTTTATAATGACAAATGTGTCATCTACGTACTGGATCCACAGTATAGGTTGAATGTGGGGGAGGGTGGTGCATTCTAGTCTTTGCATGACTGCCTCTGCGATGTGTCCTGAGATATGTGACCCCATTGGTGTACTGTTGATCTTTCTATATCTTCCCATTAAAGATGAAGTGTGTAGTGAATTGTAGTAACTTAAGTATGTTGTCCTTGCTGATGGAGCTGCTGGTCTGCGTTGCTGTTTCCTCTAGTGGCCACATTATTAGACCTAACACTGGCCACACTATGCCAAAAACATATCGGAACTGACAACAAGACTCCTAAGATCATTAGGAATCATGATGGCCCACAGACACTCCTACAGCAAACACTTAGAAGGATTAAGGACCCCATTCCCACAACATGCACAACAAATTTAGAAAATACCACGCAACGACTGCCTCAAACATTACATCGGACAGACAGGAAGGAAACTAGCCATCAGAATACACGAACATCAGCTAGCAGCAAAACAGCACAACGAACTCTCTAGTCAGTACACTCGGACAATGAAGGCCATCAATTTAACTGGGACAAGGTAACCATAGTAGCCCAAGCCAAATATAGACACGCACAGGAATTCCTAGAGGCTTGGTTCTCCACCCATACTTCAATCAACAAGCATATAGAATTGGATCCCATATACAAACCCATACAGGTCAAAACCAGAAATGACACTACTCGCCATAACATACCGGACAGTATAAATTCCAAGTGGAGTACAATAACATCGCTTCGTTGGATGCTCCACTGATGATGTCACCTAACATGGTGATGAAACATCTGAACAAAAACAAGCCAGCTTGGCGACCAAGTCAACAACCTCATCCACAACCTGAGCTCTAGATCTTTGCCAAAACTTTGGAAGTGATATCATGTTGGGGTATGCAACCTTTGACACAGCCAATGTCAGTTCAGATTGGTTTAAATTCCTTGACAACAGCTGTTTTACTTATCTCTGGATTAACTAAATATCAACTCTTCTCAGAATCTCTCTTTCTGTACCATACCTTCTAAATATTTAATCCACAAGATTTGGTGAGATAATACTAAGTACTAAACTTAAAAATAATCTAAATACATAATTCCTTTATTACGTTTCTGACCAAATAAATTTCCCACAATTGACCCAGATATTTGTGAACAAAATGTTAGATTGTGGCATTTAAGACAATGTGAAAATATGAACTGAACTATAAGCGTATTGGATAGTAATCATTCAAATGGAATGCTTTTCATGGATGACAAGACCTAATTCAAAAAGGAGAATGAAAAGGAGTCATTGGGAATTAAGATTAAAAGTAAAATTAATCACCGGTTGTTGTATTCTTGGACACCAACCATGGTTTTGACGGAATTGTATCTTGCCATTTGTGTGTCACGTACATTTTTTTTAAATTCAGGCTTATTGACCCTACTGCTGCTTTATCAGATAAAGTATTTATTTCAGTTACCTTTTTAGTTACTTTAATTGCATTGAAGTTAATTTTTAAGAGTCATATTGGTGGCTGACTTTGAAACTTAGAGTATGATTGAATCATCACGAAGAGAACGTTGTTTAGATATAGCACAATAGTATCTTAGTTGCATCATATATTCTGTTAAATAGTAAATCAGTTCTAGTGTCCTTTAATCCATCATACATATCAGGTTAAATTAAACTTGAAACATGTTTCTCCATTATTGAGGGAAGATAAAGTACAATCCCTTCTCTCCCTCCTCCGTTTAACCTTCTCTGATATACCCAGATAAGAATATTAATCTATTTCTCAAACTTATTGAAATGCCAGTATTTCAGATGTTAAACATGTTTTTCAGGCTCAAGCTTCATATGTGGCAAGTTCTGGAACTCCTGCAATTCTGCCTGAAACTGTAGCCTCTGTGCCATCAGATGGTGGTAAGTTTGTGGCCTTTTTACAGTAGGTGTAGAGAGGATTAATGTCCTGTTTATAAAAATAGAAATGTTGTGCCAAATAAAACAAGCATAAGCACAGACTCCTAAATTAGGTGCAGAAGTTGTCCGTTTGGTCTTTCAAACCTGTTCTGCCATTCAACAAGATCATCGTCAATCTGATGTGTTCAGAATTCCACACTCTCTCATAATCCCAATAACCTTGGATTCTTGTTAGGTGAGGGAATCAGTCCACCTCAATCTTACTCCCACTTTCTCCAACTTCTGAGGCAGAGTTCCAAGGTTGCACCAGGAGGAAAAAAAAATTTCAACTCTCAATCCTAAAAGTGTGACTCCTAATTTTAAAAAAGTCTAGTACAACTCCTCTTCAGAACTGAGTTCATAGCTGTTCACAGGGGCTGTCACATCTTGAGTTTCTCCGTGATTCTCTGCTTATTTCAGATTTGCAGCACCTGCAGTATTTTGCCTTTAAAACAGTGTCCCTTGACTCTGGATTCATCCATAAGAGGAAACCTCTTTTCCATTTCCATCTTGTCAGTGCTATTTAGGATCTTATCAATCACCCCTTGCTCTTCTAAACTGTAGTGAAAACAAACCCAGCCTGTCCAATCTTTGATACCTGGAATCGGAGCAATCTAATAAACTTCCTCTGAACCACTTCCAATGCATTTTGATCTTTCTTCAAATAAGGATAGCAAAAATATGCACAGTATTCAAGATGTGGAATCATCAAACTTCTGTATAACTGAAGTATAACATTATTCTTATGTTCAATTCCTGTTTTAACAAAGAACAGCATTTTATTTGTTTCCACAATCCCCTACGTACTAAACGTCTTGTGACTCATGCACTTAAATACCTAGATCCCTCTGCATCTCAGAATTCTGCAGTGATTCACTTTGGTTGGAAGAATAAAGTATTATTCAAAGTGAGCAGTTTCATATTTTCTCATGCTATATGATTTGTGATTTTACTGGATAAATTATTTTTTAACATGTTCTTTCCATTGATTATGTATTTGTAAATAAGAATTGAAGATTACATTACATGACAGCACCTATTATGCAGATATTTTGATGTTGGAGTACAGTTTTGAAACACTGCTTTTAATTCAAGAAATAGTGAATAATATATAAATTCTCAACTTCAAAATTTAACTGAAAATGGTAGTTTTATATTGGAAGACTTTATTTACTTTATACAAATACATGGATTGTGAACTATATATTATTTATAGCTTATCTATATATTTAATATATACATGACGCAAATCTATTTAGAAGTCCTTACTGATATGACATCTAATTTTTTTCTCCTTTATATTCCTCCCTCCGGCTAGAAGAACTCCTAAGGCATTAACTTTTACATTAACTATTGTAGCTTGATTTGAGTTAAACTTTGAATCAACATTGGACATTTTAACAGTGCAGAGGAGGCAGTTTGGCCCATTTTTGCTGCACTGGCTATTCAAGTGAACGTTTCAATAGAGCCACTGTAAAATCAGAGAGCCATATTGTATAGAAGAAGCCTTTTGGCCCATCAAGTCTATACTCCAAAAATATACTACTATATACATTAGTCCCACTTTCCTGCGCTAGGCTAATAGCCTTGAATGTTATGACTTGAAGCTCATCTAAGTACTGGTAAAAGGCTGATGTTTCATGCCTCGACTATCCCAGGCAGTGCATTTCAGACCCCTCACCACCTTCTGGGTGAATTTTGTTTTTTTTAAGTTCCCTCCTAAACCTCCTGCCTTTCACTTTAAAATGATGCCCCCTTGTTTATTGAGCCTTTAAGGGGAACAGCTGCTTTCCATTCACCCTGTCCATTTCTTTCCTCATCTTATACACCTCGGAGGTTCCCCCCCCACCCCCCTCAATCTTCTCTGCTCCAAAGAAAACAACCCAGGTTTATTCAGCCTCTTCATAATTGAATGCTCCGTCCTAGGCAACATCCTGGTGAATCTCCTTTGCACCCCATCCTCTACAATCACATTCTTTCTATAGTGTGGTGACCAGAAATGCACATATCACTCCAACTGTAGCCTAACCAAAGTTCAGGATAGCTCCAACATGACCTTCCTGCTCTTATGATTTATGCCATGATTGATTGCGGCAAGGGCCCCATTTATCTTAGCTACCCTATTAACCTGGCCTTCAAGCACTCTAAGACCCCCCGGCTGTTCCTCTGAGCTTCCTAGTGATTCTCTTGCTTTTATCCTGTACCCTGCACTTTACTCCTATTCAAATAACCATTCAGTTCCCTTTTTAAATCCTGGATTGAACCTGCCTCCACTGCATCCCAGACCCTATCCACTCCTTATTCCTTTTATCACTTTTGCTGCTGCTTCTAATTACTTAAATCTATGCCTTCTCCTTTTTCGATCCTTTCACGAGTTGGAACATTTCCTTCCTATTTGTTCTGTCCTGAGTGCTCATTTCAAATACTGCTGGAAGATTTCCCCTCAGCCTGCTCCAGTGTGAACATTTCCAGCTTTTCCAACCTATATAAGGTTCCACATGGTAGACTGATAAGTAAAGTGGGTCACATGGGATTCAGGAAGAGCTTGTCAGTTGGAGCAAAATTGGCTGGACGGTAGGAGACAAAGGGTGGTAGTGGAGGCTTGTTTCTCAGACCGGAGACCAGTGGTGTTCTGCAGGGTTCGGTGCTGGGTCCACTGCTTTTTGTCATTTATATGAGTGATTTGGATGAGAATTTAGGAGGCATGGTTGGTAAGTCTGCAGATGACACCAAAATTGGCAGTATAGTCAATAGTGGAGGAGGTTATCTCAGATTACAAAAGGATCTTGATCAATTGGCCCAGTGGGCTAGGGGTGGCAGGGTTCAGAAAAGATTTACCAGGGTGTTGCCAGGACTGGAGGGTTTGAGTTAGAGAGAGGCTGGATAGGCTAGGATGACTTTTTACTGGAGCATAGGATGTTAAGGGGTGATTTTATAGATGTTTATAAAATCATCAGAGGCTTGGATAGAGTGAATAGGAAAGGTCTTTTTCCTTGGGGTGGGGAGTTCGAAACTAGGGGGGCATATTTTTAACGTGAAGGGAGAAAGAGTTAAAAGGGATCTGAGGAGCAACTTTTTAACAGCGGTTCATGTAGAATGAACTGCTAGAGGAATTGGTGAATGTAAGTACAGTTACAAAGTTTTAAAAAAACATTTGGACAGGTACAGAAATAGGAAATGTTTAGAGGGGAAAACCTGAAAGAACTGTGGATACTGTAAATCAGAAACAAAAACAGAAATTGCTGGAAAATCTCAGGTCTGGCAGCATCTGTGGAGAGAAATCAGTTAATGTTTTGGTCCAGTGACCCTTTGGGTTGAGGGGGATTTGGGCCAAACGCAGGCAATTGGGACTAGTTTAGTTTGGGAAACTTGATCAGCGTGGACAAGTCAGACCGAAGGGTCTGTTTCCATGCTGTATGACTCGATGACTGAATACTCATAAACCTGCAAACTTTCCAATGTCTTTATGGGCCTCCTAAATTAGCAACTAGAACTGAATGTTGTACTCTAGCTGAGGCGTAAGTAGTGTTTTATAGAAGTTCAACATAATCCCCTTGCTCTTGAATTCTATCCTTCTATTAATGAAGTCCCAGATATTTGTATGTTTTATTAAATAATGTCTCAACCTGACCTGGCTTAATCACTCAAGTACGCAATTATAAACTCTTCCAGCCACTAGTAACAGGAAAAACCAGGGTAGCTAAAGATAAACTGTTTCCACTCGGTGATTCCAAATCTAGGGTTATAGTCTACAAATTGAAGCTAGACTATTCAGGAGAGATGTTAAGAAGCACTTCAGCACACACAGTGATAGATGTTTGGAACACTCTTCCACAAATAACAACTGATCTAGCATCAATTGCCAGTTTCAAATCTGAGGTAGGTAAATTTTTGAGCTAAGGTATTACAAGAGATGGGCCAAAGACAGGTGTATGGAGTTAGGCCACAGATCAGCCATGATCTCATTAGATTGTGAAACAGGCTCAAGGGGCTGAATGGTCTACTCCTGTTCCTATGTTTCTAATTTCCAGAAGCTTTCTCTATGGCCTCAGTTGCACCTCTTTCCTTGAGAAAGACAAATCTTTACATCTAATACTTCAGTTATGCCCTCTGTCTGCGTGCATTAATCTTCTTTGTCCATAATTGGCCCATTTCCTCCTCTTATCACTCTTACCATTTATGCTCCTGTTGCCTTTCAGGCAATATAGCTTGAATGGTCCATAAACCATCTTTTTTTTAAGGTAGTCCATTGTTTAGCTGCTGGTATTCCTGTGAACCTTTGACTCTAATTTATTAAACCCAGATCCACTCCTACCCATTTGAATTTTGACTTTCCCCCAGCTAGTTACTCTTCCATGGTCTATTTAAACCTTATGATACAGTTATCACCATCCCCCAAATAGTTTTCCAATGACACTTCTTTTTTTTTTACTATAAACATATCACCTCTTTGCTCGGTTGTAACACTCTTTTTTAATGCATCTGTAACACTTTTTCTGAATAAATTGCACAAACCTTTAAAATTTTTGCAGGCCTTTATCCCCGTCTGTACCCTGAACTGTCAGAGTATATGGGACTTAGTTTAAATGAAGAAGAAATACAAATGAACATGGCTACAGTTGCAGTACCACAGGCAAGTGATACGTTTCTTAGTATTTTTCTGCTAAATTGCCAACAAGATATTACAATTAGTTCTCAACTAACTTAAATCTGCAGGACATCACTAAGCAGTGCTTCTAAAATGATCTCTATTTTTCCACACTACTACAGTAAGCATAAAGCTAATTGGAATGGAAAAGATCACAGATCTTGATGGGAAGAAGCATTCAGTGTTTGTAAGAATTTTTAAAAATGATTTGAAAATGCTTTATATCAACAGCAAACTGTTGCAAGACCATCCAGTATAAATCACATGGTGGCACCAGTGACTGGAACCGATTTGGGTCTTCGAAGAGCTGAAATCAAACAGGGTATCCGGGAATTAATTCTCTGCAAGGATCAGGATGGAAAGATTGGCATTCGACTCAAATCTATTGACAATGTAAGTACCACTTCTAGTAACTTAAAACTACACAGAAGTTTACAATGTGCTAGAAGATGCTAAAATATTTATTGACAAAGGGTCATTTTGATGCTTTCATTGCTCTGGGGATGGGACAGTTCTTAGGGAGATGTGGATATGGAACAGAAGCCGGTCACTTGTTCCCTCTTATTTGCTATGCCGTTTTAATAGGATAGTGGCTGATATGATTGGAATCTGAAATCCATATTTTTGTCTACCCCAACAACTTTTCACTGCCTTAGCAAGAAGAATCCTGCCTTAAAGATAGAAAGACTCTGCTTCTACTAACCTTTTCAGGAAGATTGTCAATGACACCCAACACTCAATTTCACATCCTCTCTGGTTTAAATGGACAGCTTATTTTAAAACCGTAAACCCTAGCTCTGGATCTGCCCCAGAAGAGGCAAGATCCTCTATACATCTATCCTGTCAAGACCTGTCAGGAACCTGTTTTAATCAAGTTGGAAACACATTGCTTTTCCTTTTACTGCATTCTGATCTGAACAGCACTAGGTATCCTTACACCCCTTGGACTTCTGCAGTTCAAGCTGGCAGCACGAGTGCCTTCTTCAGGGTAGTTGGTGATGGGCATTAAAAGCTGGTCTCGCTAGTAATACCCACATCCCGGAAAGTTTTCCTTTCAAAAACTCATTACTTCCAGCATTATTTTAAATCACAGTCGGCTGGATGGATTTATGCTGCTGATACAGAATGTCTAGCAGACTTTTTATTTTGAATTGACCTGTTCAGAGGTGTTCTAAGTGGGAGTGCAGCTGGGACTTGAACCTGCACCTCCTGGTCCAGGGGTACAGAAACTACAACTGTGCCACAAGAGCTCTACAATGTCTACCTGACTCAGTTTCATATTCCCCAAAAACATTTGGGATATGTCATTTTTTTTCTCAAATGAATGCTTTTCTTTAAGCATTTGAGCACCACATCTTGGCCAATTTGGGTTATTCAGAAAGCTGTTGAAGGCATAGAGTTGGAAAATAATAAAAACTGACTCCGTTCCAAATTATAATGCACTTCAATTTGAAATCCTATCACACTTAAGTTTGCTTTCTTTTTCACAAACATCAATCACAATGTATTTTTAAAATAAAAATGTTTGTTGCTTTCTATAGAAATCTTTGCGAAACCAAATGTGCTTGACCACGTTTCATAAATTTTTTGAAATGTAACTTGTTCAACATTTCCAAATATGAAATCTTCCAACAACAGTAAAGCTCTTTCAAGGAAAAAAGAGCCTTTTGACATTTTTGCTGATTTTTAAATCTGCGTTTGGTTTAATAATAGCATCAATTTAAGCAAAAGCCAGATAATTGTAAAGGAGAGGGGAAAACAGTTCACTGATGGAGTGAGATAAATCATCTTTAGGAAGAATCAAAACTGGTTGCTCCACAGTTTCACTGAACTGAAGAAGACTTGAGTCGATCATGATCATGATCTTGTATCTTGTTTTATAACCGGCCTTGACCTTTGCTTCACTCTGCTCAAAAAAGTCAATCTAACAGTCCTTATCTGCATTTTTAAATGGCTTTGATCCCTTATTATTGACATTCTGATGTACACTTGTTACCTTTACATTGAGTTGAAGGAAACCTTTGCTATGATGTGCAAATGAATCCTATTGGTAGGGTGGAGGCTGGAGTGTCTTTCACATACCAGAATGTTACTTTTCTGTGATTACAAGGTGTGGAGTTGGAGGAACACAGCAGGCAAGGCAGCATCAGAGGAGCAAGAAAGCTGATATTTCGGGTCTGAACCCTTCAGAAAAATCAGCAGTTCCTACCATCTGTTACTTGACTGTTAATGATTTTATCAAAGCAGTTACACCAGGATACTGTAGCCTTGCACGAATTTAATGTATGTAATGTGTTTTCGCATGAATGTCCACTGGTGTCAACCCCCCTTAATATTTGCTATTACAGACAGGTTGATAAAACCTGAATTGGTCTATGACCAGTGGTCACGTACGTGTTGTACCTTTTTTGTACACTGAAGCAAAAGAGTATATATACCTTCTTCCATTTTGTAATAGTGTTGCATTTCTCTTTGGTTTACAAGGGTGTCTTTGTCCAACTTGTACAAGCAAATTCACCTGCTTCTCTCGCTGGTTTAAGATTTGGTGACCAGGTCCTGCAGATAAATGGTGAGAATTGTGCAGGGTGGAGCAGTGACAAGAGCCACAAAGTGCTGAAACAAGCTTCTGATCAAAAGATTAGTGTCATAGTTCGTGATAGGTAAGAATGTGCTCCTCTCTTTCTGTTGAGAGAGAATTTCTAATGGAAATTTTTTTGTGTTTGAGAACTTAACATTGGTATTTTGTCACATCTTTACATTTCTGAGGAAGGGTCACTGGACCTGGAAACATTACCTCTACTTTCAGTCCATAGATGCTGCCAGATCTAAGATTTTCCAACAATTTCTATTTTTGTTCCTGACTTCCAGCATCGCAGTTTTGCTTTATTTTTAAATATTTAATTCAGCAATTGGTGAAGCATATACGTGTGAATTTAGTTATCCCATGAAGGAGACTAACATAGTCTGTTTTTATGGAAGCAAAGAAGGACCACACTGGTGAAGGAATTAAAATGAGATGGTAATATCCCTGTAATGGTTGATTAGAGAAATTTTAATTCTGAGTTTGGATGATGAATTTTTTTTTTTTTTTGGAATATAGCTGTATAGTGCATATAGCAGTTCAAGATGAGAAAAGACCATTAGGTATTTGACCTATCTGTTCTATTGGACTCTTTTCTGTATCCCTACTTTCTCCTCTCTCTAATCTGTTTGTTAAGCAATTAGGAGAGGTGCTCTGGCAGTGAATTTGCAGATTACTTTTTACTTGGGTTTAAAAAACATTGCAGTACAATATTCTCCAAATTTTTGGAGGAGCATAATTTTTTAAATTATCCTCCGATTGTGTTTATGGTTTTAACAGAAGCTAGTATGAAGAGTCAAAGTTTATCATGCATTGGATCATCAACATTAAAATGAGAGCTGGATGACAAACTTGATTTAAATATTCCTTGATGCTGATCTAGGAAGATTGTGGCCCTGGGAAGGAATGTGCATAACGTGGAAGGTTGGGGCAGGGAAAGCTTGCTTTTGTTTTATTGACAACACCAAATATCAAGTCTTTTGATTATAAAGCCCTTATTTTTGAAGGACAGCTGCTATGTAAATGTTAAGGTCAGAAGTCACACAGCACCAGGTTATAGTCCTCCAAGTTTATCTGAAATCACAAGCTTTTGGACTACTGCTCCTTTGTCACGGAAAGTGAAGAGAAGAGAAGCACACAGGCGCAGAACTTGTAGGCAGAGAGATCAAAAGATCATACAAATGGTATGAGTGATCTTTTGATCTCTCTGCCTACAAGTTCTGCACCTGTGTGCTTCTCTTCACTTCCCCTGACAAAGGAGCAGTACTCAGCTTGTGACTTCAGATAAACCTGTTGGACTGTAACCTGGTGCCATGTGACTTCTAACCATGTCCACCCCATCCAACACCGGCATCCCCATATCATGTAAATATTAAGCCAAACTCTGCAATATAAGATCACAACTAGCAAATCAATATTAGCTTTTTGTAATATTAGTTGCAAGTGGGCAGGTGTTTGGGCCAATGAGAGAACTTTTGCTTTTTGAGAAGTGTTATGTGGATACTAAATTTAATACATGCAGCAAATGGGACCTCGATTTAATGTTTAATCTAAAAATGCAAAATCCAAATTTCAGTCTTGTGATGCATGGAGAGCCAAGAGCACAAAAAATGGATTATTTGAAACTTGGAAGGAATAAGAATGGAGAAGTGTTTTCTCAGGAATTATAGCAGCATTGTCCTTTTGCATTTAAGTTAGTTGTTTATTGTGGATATAAACTCATTGGATTCCTGTTTTGCATAGGCCTTTTGAACGCACAATCACTATGCATAAAGATAGCACAGGACATGTTGGCTTCATTTTCAAAAATGGAAAAATCACCTCGATTGTAAAAGACAGCTCAGCAGCTAGAAATGGACTCCTAACAGAACACAATATCTGTGAGATTAATGGGCAGAACGTCATTGGACTCAAGGTAAGGAACAGTGATATTTTAATTTGTGTAGGTTGGGTAATCTAATTGGAAATGCACTTTTTCAGAAAATATTTGCTGCAAAATTCACATTACCTATTTATTTCTTGAATTAATATGAACTCCTCTTAAACATTCATAGTTGCTGCCTAAACAAAATCCAATGACCATTGTTTGAACTGTCAGTTAGTGGTTGGTTTGATTTTTTTTCACTTTGTTTATTGATTGGAGAATTATTAGCCTTTCAACATTTTAAATTTTTCATTTTGGCTTTTTTTTTTCCGGGCAGTCAGGTTTAGGACCAGTCTCAATCTCTTAAAAGTATGTTTTGTTGAAGAATGTCTCTGTCTCTGCAGCGATTTCCAAAGAATATTTCCTTTTCTTTTGAATAAATAATCTGGATCTCTCCATTCTTGACCTCCAGCTACACTGATAACTCCTTTAATCTCTTGTTAATCAGATCAAACTTGCTTTGGTAAATTCTGGGTTCCAGTCTATCTTGCTGTTGCAATAGGTCAATCTAAAAGGAATGCCACCCTCAATCTGAGAACTTGAAATTGCCAAATGCCATAAAGGCAAAAGAGTCTTTGCCCCTTTTACAGAATTGTGTTTTTAATCAAAGTCTATAAAATAACTGAAGTTATTTATGGGATTGTTTAATGTGATGTTTCAATAGGATACACAAATTGCAGACATTCTGGCCACAGCAGGGAATGCAATAACAATTACTATCATGCCTTCCTACATTCATGAGCATATGATGAAAAGGTAAGTGCTGATTTTTTTTAAATTACATTAGAGTCTATTTGTCTATAGAATCAATATTTAATAAAAAAGAAGTACTGCAAGTTGAATATTCCTTGCACAATAACCAGAGTTCTTCAAGGCCAATAGTGGAACCTGTTAGAGACTAAGGGGGCAACCAGACGTGGGTGATGTATGAAACGAATACTTCTCGTGCACGCATAGAGACGAAAGACATTGTACCTGGGATGATGAGGTTCTCAAACTCATTAGGATTAATAAGGAGGAGGTGCTAGATGTTTTAGAGGACATAAGTACATAAATTCCTCGGGTCTGATGCACTATATCCAGTACTGCTTTAGGAGGAATTTGCTGAGGGCCTGGTGAAGATATTTAAGACTTTGCTGGCCATAGATGAAGTGCTAGGTGACTGGAGAATAGCTAATTTGGTTCCTTTGTTCAAAAAGTGCAGCAGGGATAGGCCAAGTAATTACAGACCAGTTAGTCTCATGTCAGTATTCGGGAAATTATTGGAAAAATTCCGAAGGACAGGATTAATCAATACTTGGAAAGACAGAGATCGATCAGAGATTACACTGATTTTGATAGAGGGAGATCCTGTCTAATGGCTTCTGAAAAGTGTCTAATCATTGAAGGTAGTGCAGTTGATGTGGTTTACACAGACTTCAGTAAGGCCTTTGACAAGGTCCCACGTGGAAGGCTGGTCCAAAAGGCAAGTGTTCATAGGATCCAATGTCAGCTACTCCTTTGCATTTTAAACATCTTCCTTATAAACTACTATGATCTTCTAACTTCTCATTAGCCATAGTGGTGCTACTTTTTAAGGGTATGTATTGGAAATTACAATTTAATTATTAAAATATTTGCATTGGTTAACTGTCACTGCCATTTAAGCTATCTTCCCAATCTGTCTTGATCAACTGAGCCTCATGTAGTTTGCTGCCTTTAAAATTTAACTGTAGTTATGGGCTTGATTAAAGCATTCTGTAACTCACTGTACCATTTTACATATTCTTCCTGAGCAGCTCGCTCTTCACAGGATTGTAGCTTGCTTCATTTCACAGTATCAGATCTAAAATTAATGCTTTCTGGATCAATATTATGGAACCATCTTGAGTATATTTATGAACTTGCCTTCCATGCTGTTGGAATTTTGTTTTCCAAACTATAGAGATATTATGTTTCAGATCTAGCTTTCATTGGGACTGTAATCATCAGTATTATTCAAACCTGGTGATGCTTTATTGAAGTACTGTGGAGTGTTTATGGAACTATCCATAGAAGCTTCCTTAATGCTAGAAAGGGATAGTAAGATGAGAAACTGAACTTAGAATGTGATTTTTAATGATTAAATTACAAGTTCTGAAGAAGGGTCACTGGACCAGAAACATTAATTATTCTTTCTCTGCACAGATGCTGCTAGACCTGAGGTTTTCCAGCAACTTGTTTCTGATTTTCAGCATCTGCAATTCTTTGTTTTTTTTCTCTGGAACATTAATTCTCTTCCTCTGGGAATGCTGGGTAGGGTTTCTCCAACACTTTGTTTTTATTTTGGATTTCTAGCATCTGCAGTACTTTGCTTTTATCTGAATTAATTAATTATTTATCCATTTTACATTTTGGACTTAAAAATTCAACTTTAACTATGTTGAAACACTAATGTCAAGATTTTTTTTAGCTGCCGGTTTAAGCCACGTTCTACAGCAATTTACCTTCCGTTTGTAATTCTGAATTTCTCCCCCTTTGTCTTTCCAGGATGGCTTCAAGCATTGTTAAGAGTCTCATGGATCATGGCATTCCAGAAGTGTAAAGTGAACTCCTATGAATGCAGTGATTTAGTGATTTAACCTATTAGCCTTTTAGATGGCCTTAGTCTAGTAAAAATAGCAGCTTGGATACTACCCAGCTTGCATGTCAAAGGAGTTTTAATATGGCTATTAACTGTTGCTGCCAACTGCGTACCTATACAAATTATGAGCTGTTTTACTCAGTACTCTGTTTACAAAGCAAAAAAAAGGTGCATTAGCATTTTGTTCTGATCATTCCACTTGTACGCTTTTCCATATCAGTTAATAATTTAGTATGGAATTGTTTTTACAGTATTGAGCAATTAGTCCATGAAAATTGTGAATCTTGATTTCTTCTAGTTGGTTGTTAACAATCTTGACTGGTATGTCATGTTTTTATTCAGTAATTTTTGCTTCTGAGTACATTTATACTGTATAGTGGTCTCTTACTAGCATATCACTGTCCTTACACACTTATTAAAATGTCTTTAAGACATCGGAACGCTGTTTATGACAAATAAAAAAACTGAACATTTTGTTTCTGTTTTTTAAAGTTCTGTTTTATTTATACTCTGTCACTCTCAGTTTTCTTTCACAGTTTGCCATTTGACTATCCAGTGACAGGAGTAATGACTTCGCAATCAAGGTACACCTAAGTAATCATAATGAGTGAATTTTACATCAGGTTTGAAAGGGAGAAGATTGGGTCTAAACCTAAACAAGGGCAACTTTGTGGACCATGAGCAAGCTGAGATGATCTGGCAAATTTGGCTAGGTGAGCAATCAATACTTGCACACCTTTTTAAGGGGATATAAAAGTCATTCCAGTAGTAGCTCTACATCAGGACATAGAAGGGCAAGCACAACTTAGCAAAATTACAATTACAATTACAATAGAAATGGTACTAAGCAAACTAATGAACCACAGGCTGACATGTCTCCAGGTCTAAACAGACTTCATTCCCAGGGTCTTGTGGTCGCTAATGAGATAGCAGATGAATTGGTGTTAATTTTCCAACATCCCTTAGATTTAAGAAAGGTTCCATCAGACTAGAAGGTACTAAATACAACCCTCTTCAGAAAGGAGAAAGAAAATTGGAAACAGAAGGCCAGCTGGATTGTATGTTGTAGGAAAGCTGTTATTTTATTTAATAAATTGATTTTAGCTGTGCAGTTAGAAAAATTTTCTAATCAGGAAGAGTCTGCATGGTTTTGTCAAATCCTGTTTAACTAAATTAGTGAAGTTCTTTTGAAGGAGTATCGTGCACTATGAATAAAAAGGTATCCTAGAGACAGTAGGATTTCTAGAAGATACATGCTCATGGTATAGGAGAAAACATTAGCATAGAAGATTGGCTGGAAGAAAATACCATGCATATTTTTGGCATATATAACAAGGGAAATTCTGCAGTGGTCTCAACTTTTTACAGTTTACACCAATTGCTTAGATGAGGGCATGATTGCTAAATTTGTATATGACTGCAATAGGAAAAGATGCTGTGAGGATGACATCGGGAAGTTGCAGGCAAGTAAATGTTGAGAGTGGGCAAAAATCTGGTAGATGGAGTATAATGTGGAGAAGTGCTACCTAACAACATCTCCTGAATGGTCTGGCCCTAATTCTCAGTCAATGCCTAGACCTAGAGTCCCCAACCAGTAGGGTTTGTCTTTTTCTGTTCACATTCTTGAAGACTTCAATCACTTCATCCGTAAACCTTCTAAATTCTAGAGAAAATGGGCATAACTTGTAAAATCTGTCCACATAATTTAATCCCTGAAATTCATGTATCACTGTTGTAAACCTACTTTGGCTCCTCCACAACCAATATTTTCTTCCCAAGGTGTGGTGGCTAGATCTGATCTCTGTACTCCAAGTGGGGTCTAACTGGAGTTTTGTATAACTGCAGCATAATGCCTGCATCCTTACATCCAATCCTTTAGATATAAAGGCCAGCATTCCAGTAGTTTGTTTTATTTTCTGCATCTATTTGTGATGTTTTAAACTTTTATGCATCTGAACCCCCAAGTCTCAGGACGTCCACCAAATCCTGATCTAAGTTTTTTTTTTTTTGGTTCAAAAATGGGTAACCTCATTTGGTTACTTGTTTACATTGGATTCCATCTGCCATAGTTTTGCCCACTTAATCTATCAGTATCCCTCTTGTAACTTTATGCTGTCATCTACACACTGTCTACAATGCTACCTGTCATTGACGGATTTGGATGTATGACTTTGTGCTATTATTCAAGTTGTTAGTAAATAATGTGAATAATTCAGACCCCCTAACAGATACCATGGGTCACATCCTGACAGTTTGAGTACATACCTGTTATTCCCATTTTGCCTATTACTCAACCACTTTCCCAGCCATGTCAATTTTCCCTCTTCCATGAGCTTCTACCTTAAGTCTGTTGGGTGGGACTTATGACATTTCAGAAGACGTTTGCTTGATATTCGGAATGAGCAGGTTGTTTTGAGGCAGGATTGGACAGGCTGGCTCATTTCCACTGGTGTGTAGAAGAGTGGAGATTTGATTACAGCATCCTTAATGGTCTGGACAAAATGAGATGGAAAGCACATTTGAGTGAGATGTTGGGGGAGGGAGGGGACACTTTTATATTTAGGGGTTACTGTTTCAGGATGGAAATGCTTTCCTCAGGGTTGAGATTCTGGGAGTCAAAAGTGTCAGAGTCTTTTAAGACGAGAGATTTTTCTTAGTCACAGGAATAAAGGGTTAATGGGGGTAGATAGCAATATGGAGTTTGGAATGTGAACAGATCAGTTGTGACCTTATTGAAGGGTAGAGCAGAATGATCTACTTTTATTTCATCTTTATACAAAGTATAGAACTAATGAGTACTTCCCTGCCTTTACAATCCTGTGCCTTTTGGGGAGTTTTTTAATGTATTGTTGTATCTGAATAAAAATATTTATGTATCCCTATTGAAATGTGTTTTTCGAAATGTCATGTTGTGGACAGGCCTGAATGAATGATCCACTTGATTTAAAATAGAGAGGTATACTCACCAAGTAACAGGCAAAATGGGAATACTCACCAATGGTATTGAGATATAGAAGATTAAAGATATGTATTTACATAAAGATCATGAAAGCTGTTTGTGTATTCCAAAATGAATTTTAAAAATCCCTTTGAAGTTAAATACCAGGTAACTTGTACACAGCAACCCATGTTACTGAAGTGCCAATCTGGGGGCCACTTTGACATTCTGTAAAAATTACTACAAGCTCTGAGTTGCCTGGCTGTTTCAGGTGGTGTTCCAGGCCAATATTCATCTCGGGCCTGTTGTGAGCTCCAGTGAAAAATCAAAGACTAGCACCTCATTTTTCATGTGGCGTCCATTCCACCTCTGGGACTGAAGAGTTCAATATCTTTAGAGCCCAGTCACGTCCTTTTGTTTTAAGCCAACACACACCCTGGTCCTGTTAGGACATGGATTGCTTTCAGCCCAGCCTACCCATCTCTTCCCTAGCTCTCATTCACTTCAACTTCTTTTCCATCCTGGCTTCACTATCATTAATCCCTTTGTCTGCCTACACCTTTTCATAACTCTTTGGGCATATGTCTCCACCTATGTCCTCACCAGCCCCCTACACCCAACCTTCAGCATAAATACCACTTTTTCTGAGCTATCAGTTCTGATGAGTCACCAGACTCAAAACATTAACTCTGCTATTTCCCCACAAATGTTGCCAAACCTGCTGAGTTTCTCCAGCAATTTGTTTTTGCAACTGGGCAATAAACCATGCTCCCACTTCCAGAGACAGTTTTTCCAACTATTTGATTTTTCCAACACAACCTTGACTAAACTGGAAGAAAAGTAAAGGTTCGAGTTGGACATAACAGGTTTAAATGGTTGATTGTAGAGGTTCATTTTTGGGTGTTTGCTGCTGCATCCCTCCCCAGCTACTTGTATTAATGGAAGTTTCTCTTCAGGGAGCTGTTACCTGAGCTTGGGCAAGCTCGGGGTAATTAGAGTTTCTCTAGTCTGAAAAGAATTGCTGTCTTACACTATTTTATTTTGTTTCATGTAGGTACGTCATAGTTTAAACAACGGGCCAGTTTTTGAGTATCACTTATCAGGGTTACAAATTCAATTTAGTGTAAAGGCACTTTTTTTTGCCTATAGCTACTGATGCTTTTAATTACACGAACATTTTCAGTCACCCAGTGAGTAAAGTACACCAGGTTCACATCATTAATGCTTTCGATGATTGATAAGCCTGATACCTGCAACAAATAGCTCCACCATTCAATATGATCATAGTTGCTTAATTTCCTTTCCTGCCTGATTTCCATATTGTTGATACCCTGACACCAAATGTCTCTCAACCTCAAGTACTTTCAACAATGGAGCAGCCACAACCCCCAAGATTAGAGAATCTCAAAGATTCATAACTGAGCAAAAGAGTTCTTAATCCTACCAGTGTTCTACAGTGCCAGCCAGAAGAAAATTCCTCTGAAGTTCGGTGACTTCATTGACAGGGCAGACAGTGAGATCACGTTTATTCTGCTGAACTTACTCAGCCTTTCATTTATAGCACAGCCTGATCATCTCAGGAACCAATGTAGTAAACCTTGCAATGCTTCTAATGCAAGTACACTTCCTCAATATTTAGTCTAAAACTGCATAGTAATGCCATTCATGTCCTGTGAAATTGCAGCAAGAAATCTTTATTGTTGCACTTCTGTACAGGATAAGAGCTTGTATTGTTGGGGATGATATGTTAAGCCCAGTCAGAGGATTGACTAAGAGGAAACCAGATGTGTGACATTTTCAAGTTTAGAAACTAACTAGTGGAGTGCTGCAGTGATCCGTGCTGGGGCATCAATATTACTGATTTGGTGGGTTGGGCGGGGGGGAGAAATCAACTATTGTAGTCAAAATTGCAATGATACAAATATAGGCAGCAAAGTGAATTATGGAAGACATCAGGTGTCTGCAAAGTGACACCAGTAAGCAAAGAAAAAAAATGGCAAATGGATTATAATGTGAGAAAATGAGATTTCTCCATTTTGTCGGGAAGAATAGAAAAGCAGAACATTATTTAAATAGACTTGTGAAAGCTGCAGGAGGAGGATTTGGTTAATACTCCTAAATTAATCAAAGTAAGCCTGCAGGTACATAAGTAATTAGGAAGGCAAATGGAATGTTTGTCTTCCCTCAACTCCCTCAAGGCCAAGTGCAGTTGAAGCCACAATCGGATCAGCCGTGATGGTACTGAATGGCCTGTTGCTGTTTCTAATGAGCACATTAACAGAATAAACAGTAGAGGTTGTATTCTCTGCAGTTTGGAAGGTCGAGTGGTAATTTGATCAAAGTTTGAAAACAAAAGGGAACAGAATTTCTACAATTTTTACAACTGCCACTTGATGTCTGATTCTGGAGGTGCAGTGCAGCTCAAATGAGCTGTTAAACTGAGGGTCCATCTGCCTGCTCATGTGGATGCAAAAGATGCGCAGTACCATTTAGAAGAATAGTATTCTCTCGTGTTCTGACCATCATTTATCTCTCTGAAGAACTGCATCAGAAAGAATTATCCAGTCATTAGCATGTTGTTGTACGTGGGAACTTTCAGTGTGCAAATTATCTGCTACATTTCCTGTTACAACATTGACTTTGTTTCAAAAGTAAATCGTTAGCTGCAATGTGCTTCAAGAAGTCGGCTGGTCATGAAAAGCACTACATCAATGCAAGTTTACATTCTTCACGTTCCTTACAGCTTAAATTCCCACCAACCGTTGTATTTTCAACAGATTTAGATAAGAGACTGTGAGAATAAAATATCTAAGTCATTGATTTTGATCGTAAAGAACTGAGGCCCTGCACCGATCCATCTGGTTTAGTAGATGACAACATTTCTTTGATGGCCTGTAGTTCCCTGATTTTTTTTCTTGTTTCTATTGCTGTTCTATTTACTAACTTCCAATCCTGTTGGACCTTTCTAGAATTAATGGAATTTTGGAAAATCATGACTACGTGGAGGAGCTCAATGGATTCTATTTTTAACTATATGTAGACACTAGAAATTCCCATCATGTAAGTAGTGAGCACTGATTAGCCTCACTGGTATTATGTCATACATTGCACTTAAATTATCATAATGCTGATTAAACTTGCAGTCATTTTACTAATTGTTGTGTGCGCCTTTAAATTTTCTTGAGCTGAAGCACATGCATGGTAGCTCAAAAAGGCTGACTTGTACTCAACCTGCACAGGAAATCAAATTGCTGCGGAGTTTAGAGGAAATACTGGTCAGAAGTTTTACATTTGGGATAATTACTAAATAGGATAAATCAACTACAATAAATTGCATAATAACTTTATTGATATTTCAGTTGGACAAACGGATGTTACCGCTTCAGAATACTGAAATATTTTCATGCCTGTGGTGGCTATATAATTAGTTATGGTCAGTTTCAATTAAGATTGGCTACTGGGTTGAAGTATGCGGTTTATATATTTTAAGAAAATTTCAGGAATGGCTAAAGCGCAAGTCACTTAAGTTTGATGCACAGTACAAAATAAAAAATAAATTCAAATACCACAAAATTAAATCTGAAATTACACAAACGTAATCAATACACTCAGTATACACCAACCTCTCGAGTCTGGAATGTTTGGTACCGAGTCACTATGGGATTATAGAGTGACTTTAGAATATCTAACCATAAGTGTGTGAACAGAAGATACCACAGATTTACTACTCATCTGTACATAAAATGATACAATTAGTTTTACTTGGTTTTATCAAATATTGTAACAATCACATTTCCACTCAAAGTGCTACATTAAAATTTTGTTGAGGATGTACTCAAAAGAAATTCTGGATAATGAGTGTTTCTGATTAGAGATTTCCAGACTGAGAGGTTACAGTTTATACAGTTTCTACAATATAAAATTTATGGTAATATAACAAACACCAAAGCCTATCTACAAACAATTTTAAAGAATGGAACAAAACTTTTCATTCAAGTTATGTATCTCCAAAAGCCATAGAAAACGAGAGTTTGGAACAATGTAAACTGACAGCAACTCTATTTCCAGCTGATTTAAAAAAAAACTTTATGTTTGTTTTATTCTCACGTCGATTATCTTTCTAACGTAAATTTAAATAGAGTTTACAAATGTTGGTGTTAAGTGAACTACCCTTATAGATAAAGAAGTCTGTTTTAATGCTCATCTCATCTTGAGCAACACTTGACAGTGTTTACAGCGCAAAAGATTTACAAGGCAATGCTTGCAATTGATCTAACTTAGGAAGTTATCCTTCAAATTAACAATTTTTTTTGTGGAAATCATATGGTAATTTATACAAACTAGTGCAAAGATTTGACTATCATTCCATAAGGAACTAGACAGTTAGGAGATGAATGCTGTAAAGCTATGGTTGGACAGGTAGTGGAAGCAGACCTCTGGTGTAAGGGTTCTTATTACATAAACAATTGATTTGGGGTTTCACAGTATGGTGTTAAAAGAATGCTCTGGAAACAGGAAGACATTCTGATATTCATGATTAAATATCTAATTTTAATGAGTTTGTACTTTGGATGCAGTTGTGCAGAACAATCTAGAAATAAAATGTAATTCAAACATTTCAAATATATAATCCAATAGATTAAAAATGCAAACTGTACCCACAATTATTATAATCCTTATTTTACATCTGCAGAGTTAATGGAAAGATGTGCTGATATAATTCCAGCTGACAAATACTCTGGATGCCTAATGTAGGAAGTTTTAATTTATAATGAAATACTCCATTTTGTCACATTGCCATGACCGCTGCCACTCCACAAAATCATTTACCCACAGAACCTAGTCGCTGGAAAAGTGTATATCTCCTATACTGCTTAAAATACTTGACACAACCTTTAATTTCTTTCCAGTAACTACCACAGATGTCAACATGTTCAAGAAATTTCTTAGACATTAAAGGGCATCAAGGCACAATCATAATTTAAAAATCCTACTGCTGATGCCCAACAATATTTACATTAATTGTGTAAAACATTTTGCAAATTTCATAGTTAGTTTATGATAAAAGCACTTGTGGGATTCTGCAGGTACATCCGTTTTGACAGACATGCAATTTGGTTTGCTTATAGTCTCCAGTCCACTGAATCAAAAATGAGTTACAAATAAAAGTTAAACCTTAGCTCAGCTGAGGTTCAGAATTTTTCTATGACAGCTGATTCTGCTATTTCCTGACTAATCTGAACCCAGCTGACACAGTCCTAATACAAGGTGAACTTAGACTTGTCATGTACTTAATGCAGAATACTCGTACAGCAACTAAAACATAATAAATATCTTCAGCAGTATAAACTTTGGTCAAATCCAAATAAGTTATATTTCCCAATACTTCATTATCTTTTTCCAATATCAGAAACACTCAAAAGTACTTTGTTTTTGGACTGCACTATGACACAGCATGCTGGAAGGACCAATGCAAGATTACGCAAGCTATCGAGTCAATCTTTCCATCCTGCTGCTGCTTTAGGAGGTTTATTGAGTGAAGATAAATATTTGCACATTCCTACAAGGGGTCAAGAGATGCAAGTTCATCTTACTATACCAAAAGCAAAACTGGTGGAAATACCCAGAAGATGAGAACCTCTCATTTTGATCAGAAATGTTGACTGCTTTTATCTCCAAAGATGCTAGCTAACCTGCTGAGTGTTTCTAGGATGTTTATTCCTTTTTATTTGAGATTTCCAGCATCCACGGAATTTTGCCTTTGTCCTGAAGGTTATTGCTTTAATAACTATTTATATATCATGGACAATGCAGCTTTAAAATGGTTCTTGCTTCATTTAAAAAAAAGTGCTAGAAGCCAATGTCTCAAAGGATTTCAAAGAAAGGCACTTAGTATTGCAGCTTCCAGAAAATAATCTGTTTATCCTCCCCTCCTGTTATGATGCTGCTGCAATGCTCATTCATCCAAATACATGTCACAGCACCTGACAACAGAAGAAAATAAAATCAATTATGTCAAATGATTTTTTTTAAAAAGAAACAATTCCTTTGGCAATTTCCAATGTTTAAAGGTAGAAAACTGCAGCAGTTAATAAATAAATAGACAAACGTGAAAAAGCCACACTTCTGATTAAAAATAAATTAATTTATTCTTCTAAACTCCAGCAAACACAAGCCTTTCTTCAAAAGATCAGCCCCACTTCTGGTATCAGTCTAGTAAATCTATTCTGAATTGCCTCCAATGAATCCTTCCTTAAATAAGGTGACCAACACTGCTTACCATTACTTTAGATGTGTTCTCCCTACTGCCCTGCATAACTGAAGCATAACCTTCCTACCCTCACAGTGAATGATAACATTCTATTAGCTTGCCTAATTATCTGCTAGACCTGCATACACGCATGAGGACCCCCCCCGCCGACCCACCATCCCTCTGTTCCCTCTGCATCTCAGGGCTCTGCAATCTCTCATCTTTAAGATAAAATGGCTCTCATCCCTCTCAACAATCCGGACAATTTCACATGTTCCCACATTATCCTCCATTTGCCAGATCTTTGCCCCCACACACACACACACACACAAACTATCTATACATTTTTGTAGCCTCCTCAGGTCTACTTCACAACTTACTTTCCAACCTATTTTTGAGTTGTCAGCAAACCTGGTAAACATACTTTTCTGCTCTTTGTACAAGCCATTGATATAAATTGTAAACACTTGAGCACCAATCCCCGGGCACACCATTTGTTATATCACACCAACCTCGAACTCTAAATGAATGGAAGTTTTTGGGAGCTACTCCAAATGTCGTTCTAACCTTGCTGTCATAGCAGAATTTGAAAATGTAAACTATAACAATGAAATATATTGAATATTTAGGCTTCATTTATATGGTCAATTTCAATACAAGATTATAGAAGGGATCATAAACCGTTAGCCATTCAGAATGCAAGACTGTGCAAACATAACAATGGAAATAATGTAGGTGACATTAGAAAGTTCGTGAAATGCGACGCAAACACAGAAAAACAAATGGTAAGTTCCTACCTGAATGTGCAAATATTTTTTCAGTAATTTTTGCAGCCATCAGATCCCATACTAAAAGTTCACCAGACTGGCTGCCTGACAGAACGGTGTTTCCATCCCAGCAAAAACACCTGAAAATAGGATTCTGCCAGATTAGAAAAATCTCCAAATTTGTCAAAATGGAAAATATAATCCGCAATGTATCTCTAACTTTTTTTTTTACATAGATACCATAGTTGTTACCTTTGTTGTTGATCTGTAGGCAAAGAGGAGATCAACATGCCTGTCTGCACATCAATAACTTTCAGACAACAATCTTCTCCCGCACTGAGAACATGGCGACTATCTGTAATCATACACTTGTTCAAACATTTATCAGAATTTACTGAAGTGGACAGTTAGACAATAAACTTTAAAGCTGTGTTTCATTAGGTCAGGCTAAGATCAAGTTGCATTATAAAAAGTAATTAGTGTGTATTAATTAAATACAGGTAATAAGCAAGTGTTCTGTGTAACAGTTAACAATAAAAAATTCAGGAATCATAATTTTGAATACATTCGGCTTAGAAAGCTATGACCTCAACAGTATGGCAAAGATTAGTTTATAAGTTCATAATTAAAGCAAACTATTATGCATTTGAAAAACATTGCACAACGTAAGACTGTAATGAGGTTTATATTTGATAAAAATACATTTAAACCTGAAACATACCCGGGCTGAATGCAACATCATTGACAGTGCCTAAATGACAAGGCACTTGATATAAAATACTTAAGGCGGTGAGGTCCCAAATACTAACAGTCCCTTCTTTGCTGCCTGAAACAAGCATTGTGCCAATAGGATTGAGGTTTATTGTATTTACCTGTCAAAGAAAATCCAAATTAAGTTACTTTCATCCAAACAGAATGAACCCAGAATTTTCTTCTGTGCACCACATACAAGCAAACATGATCTGATGGGTACTTTTAATATATCTATCCAATTCAGAAGTCTTATCAAAATGAAAATGTTTTTAAATAATTCCAGAGCAATTCACATTGTACATATTCATCTAACTCTTTCTGGTGTAAAATAAACAACATTTGCTAGGACAACAGAGCCTTGTGTCTAAATCTGTAGAAATTTACAATTTACCATACATTTGCTGACTTCTTAGTTAGGAGTCTATAATGTTATTTGTAGATGCTGAGTTTCTGTCACTTTCCCTCTGCTGCTCATGGGAATGGATAGTGAGAATCAGAGTCTCAGAGTTGTTATAGTGCAGCTAGAACCAGTTCAGACTTGGACAGTCGTAACACAGGAGGTCACTCAGCCCATTAGGTCAATATCAGTCAATAAGTATCTGATTACATAAATCCTATTTTCCAGCTTTTGGTATAGCCCTGAAGGCTATGGCAATGCAGGTGAATATTTAAATACTACTTAAATATTACAAGACTTTCACACTTAGACACCCTTTCAGGCATTGAGTTCCAGGCTCCCACCATCTTCTTAGTGAAAACGAATTATCAACTCCCCTCTTAGCCTCATACCTCTTGGCTTAAATCTATGCCCCCTGGTAATTGATCCATCTGTCAACAGAAAATGTGCCTTCCTATCCACCCTAGCTATGTTCTCTCATACATACCTCAGTCATGTCTCCTTTCAACCTTTGTTGTTCTCAAGGTAACAACCATAACTTATACAATCTTTCCTCATAGCTCAGACCCTCCAGCTCAGGCAGTATCCTGGTAAATCTCCTCTGCAATCAATCCTTCCCGTGATGTGGTGACTAGAAATGCACATAGTACACCAGTTGTGGCCTAATCAATACTTTGTACAGTTTCAGCATTACCTCCCTGCTTTTGTATTCTGCTTTGGCTAATAAAGATATCCAAGTCTTCTCAATTACCTGTCCTGCAAAATTCAGGGATCTGTGGAATGGGCACACCAAGGTACCTCAACTTTAGCACTTTCTAGGGTCCTACCATTCATAATGCAATCCCCTCTCATTAGCCATCTCCAAGTGCATCACCTTACACTTTTCCAGGTTGAATTCCATTTGCCACTGCCTGACCAGTCTGTTGATGTCCTCCCGTAACTCGCTATTTACCACTCTACTAATCTTATTGTCATTCACAAACATCTTGATCCTATCCCCCACATTTAAGTCTAAATCATTAATGTACACCATTAACCTTAAGAGTCTTAGCACAGAGCCCTGTGGAACCCCACTGAAAACAGACTTCCGGTCACAGGAACACCCTTCTACCATCACTCTCTGCCTCCTACACTTGGTCAATTTTGGATCCAAAGCGTGCGTTTGCCTTGGATCACACGAGCTCTTACTTTCTTGACCAGTCTGCCATGGGGCACCTTATCAAAAGTCTTACTAAAATCAATGTCAACCATATTAAATGCATTACCTTCACTAACACTCCTGGTTACTTCCTCAAAAAATTTAATCAAATTTGTCAAACATGACCTTCCCTTAACAAATCCATGATGACTAACCCTGATGAAACCAAGATTCTTCATGCTACATCATTTCAAGAATGAGAACAGTTTTCTCCCTAGTTACTCTGTCCAGGCTCCTGGTGATTTTGCATACCTCCATCAAATCTATAGAAAACTGTCCTATCTTCTATGATCAAATTCATAGTTGAAATTTGTTATCTGGGATCCATTATCAAGAATCTCAAGTGTGGCACTCAATACTGGATGTAATACTCGAACTGAGGCTGAACCAATGTCCTATACAAACCTAACATAACATCCTTGCTCCTGTGACAACAAGGTCTCCTTGCTCCTGTACTCTACACCCCTATTAATAAAGCCCAGGATACACTATGCTTTATTAACCCATTATGCCACCTTTAATGACTTATACAGGCACATACCCAGGTCCCTTTGCTCTTGCATCCTCTTTAGAGTTGTACCTTTAATTTCATTTCATCTCTCCATTTTCTTCCTGCCAAAATGAATCATTTCACTTCATTGTATGAATGCCTTTCTCTGCATTGAACTTCATCTGTCACGTGTCTGCCCATTCCAACTTGTCAATGCATTTTTAAATTCTACACTGCTCTACTCAGTTTAAAATCGTTTCCAGTTCCATATCATCAACAAATTTTGACCACTATGTGGTTAAATGAATACAGTCATAATGAGAAACTTCAAAGCATGTGCACTTACACCTGCATCATGTTCCAGCTCAGCCATTAGCTCACAGCTATTCTTTTTTGAGTTAGTGAGATCAGCAGAAACACATTTCCAGACCTACAGCCAAACAAAAGGTTAAAAAAAAAATTTTTGTCAGCTACTTAAACTTTAGTATCAATCGTAGGAAATTAAAAATGTTTCTAGATAACCAAATTACGTCATTAAGTTCAAGAAAAAGAACTTCCAATACTGGAAAGTGATTAACTTTTTCTTCAACAAAGCAAATAATTTAAGACTCAAACAGTTGTAATCCATATCACATACACAAAAGGATATCCCATGGCTACTATTAATTATTTAGTAGACTTGAAAGTAGAACACACCTATGACAAAACCACAGAGGTCTTATGCAATATATTGCATAAGCACAATAAACGAATAGGAGCCAAGCAGTTTTGGACATGCTGAGAATTGTACTGTCTAATCACAGTGCACATTAGTTTGTATTGACCAGTACAGAAACGCTTTTGCTGGGATTAAGTAGACAAACCCGGAACCAAGCGAGTACTATCCCACTGAGCCTGTGACTTGATCCTCCTGTATACTCCAGTACTTCACGCTACACCTCCTAGTTTTGGTATTGGCAAACTTCTACCACACATACGGTACAGGAAAACATTTAGGGGAATGAGATTAAAGATTAGTTATTGTGTGCAAGTAAAATTCTCAAGTGTTGTCAATGTATTATGATCAGCAACATAAGTCTTGCCATGTGCCCTCCTGAAGTGCCACAGGACATTTTTAAAAATGATGACAGCATACAAACGTGACTATACATTGCTGTAATTGTTTTGCTGAGGTTGCAGCAGGCTTTGCATTTGTAGAAATAGAGTTTGTACAGAGATCAATAGCAGGATCAACAAATTTATACAGGTCAGGCAAGGGACTGCACCGTTCAGCATGGGAAAACCCGTCAGCCCAGGGATGCAGATGTGGAGAGCATTAGGAATGAATGCTGGGCACTGTTTAAAGTGACAATTAATGTTTTGAAGCAAGGTGGCCTCTTTAAAAAGCCTATTTTCTTTTCAGGGTTCTGGTCACAATACTGCCTTCCCTTATCCTTAACAGGACGCACTCAAGTCCATCAAGGGGCTACATTTTTTATCAGTTTCAAACTTATACTAGTGCCCAAGTTGTCAGCTGGAGGGGTGCCACATTTTTTGAGTTAGATACCTTGATTGAGCAGGCAGAGGCTCCTAAAAAAGACGACAACAAAATCAGAGACCAAACACATCAGCAAAGTTGCAAGTATTCTGGCAGACTCTTGCAGGATGTATAAATATAGGAGTCTGCTAGATGTAGATGTAGAAGGAAAACAAGTGTCATTAATGTTATTTATTGGGACAGATATGGATGTGTGTGTCATCATCAAAAAGTGAAGACAATTTAATCAATGCACATTGAACCATGGCAGACTCAGGGAAAAATTTACTGACAGTACAAAATAAATCAATGAACCCCACATTTGCTTGTTTTCTTGGAAATTAACACTAGTAAGCTTTATTTCTAAACGTCTTGCTGTCGTTTTCTGCATTTTATTATTGCATAGACATTGCAAGTGTAAATATTACTATTTCTATGTAAGTATTCAATTGTTGCTACTACTTTATGTGGCATCAAAACAGTCTATGGACAGTGGGACGTCTGTACCAATTGTTTCTTAAGTATGATGACAATCACATATAGACAAGTGCCTCAATTTACAATGATCTATAACTGATATTGCCTGTGTTGTGTGTGTGATGGAAAGTCTTCAGAAATTTGACCACTGCAGGTTTGGTGGAGGAAGGAAAACAGGAGCATGAACCAAACGTCCACATCTGGGAGCATTTTCAGTTAAAGAACAGAGCTTTCATTTTTAGAAAGCACAAGAGATTCCATTCAGGAAAGGAGGTCTACAATTCCAGAGAATTCTCATCATCACCACCATCTTTCAAAATACACACAATTTTACAGATGAACAATATTTGAGTAAAAAATAAATGTCATTCAAATGGAAATTTCCAACAGGTTAAATTATGCTCATCCACCCCGGGTGATCAATTCAAGAACAACTGAGAGTAATGGGATTAGAATATAAAAATATAAATACCAGAAATGTACTTCATTATTGAAAAAAAAAACAGATGAACTTTTGTGGTTTAATCCCTTGGTCAGTAATTTAGTTAAAAATAGAGTATTACAATTTCTAACACAGGAACAGATATTAATCACCAAAGAGCAAATTAACGTTCCAATGTTTAATGTCTGGCGGCGTACTGCTATTTTTGAATTACTAAATGTTTTGGACTAAGCAATATTCAGTGCCCAACAATAATGAGTGCAAGTGTATAATTTTCTGAAGTGATAGTGTGATTTAGTTGGTAGTTTAGTTGATCAAGTCTATTGTGGAATTGGAACACAATATCTGAAGCCAATATCCAGTGCAAACTAACAGAATGTTGCATGATTAGAATTACAGCTTCTGGAAAAAATCCTTCTATTCAAATCATGAAGAGTTTTTGATCAATTCTCACTCCCAACACAAAAGGACAGATTAGTTATCCATTTCACTGCAGCTGCCAGATTTTACAGCGTTTAAAATTACAATAGTTGTAAGGTATACAGGAAAGAGGCACTGGTGGCAAAAGTGTGAGCAGGCAGCCTGGGGAGAGCGGAAGCAGGCAGCCCGAGATGGCTGGTGGCTGGGGGTTTTGGGCGGGGTGGGGCGTGGTGGCGGGTGTCAAGCCCTTGTGAGGAGTGCCAGCTCAGCATGGCCGGGCGCTTATGAACTGTGGTGTTGAACTGTCAGCTGTGTTTCTTTGTTTTTCTACCTTTTAGTAAGACGGAACTGTAGCGTTTAACTTTTTAACACGGTTTTCTTTATTTTTCTGCTTTGTACCAAGATTCTGTACCGAGGTACCTTTGTACCTCAGATGGTGCCGTAGGTGGCCACTTATAAACTTTTCACCGTACTTCAGTCAATAAACCTAATTCACTATCAAAGATGAAAATGAAAGAACATGGAAGACATAGAGTTAGTGGATTGAGGATGAAATCACTTCAATGTTTAACTCAGATAAAGAGTTAGTACACTGCTTCCCAATCCCAGAGGTCAGGTTGAGTATTCACTCACCGCATTGGCCAATTAAAAGGATTTCTAGTTCAAATGATCTTGGAAGACCCTGGGTCTCCTACACAGAATTTTTACTGAAGGTTCTGGGGGACTGATACGAGCTGATGTTCACCAAATAAAGGAGGAAGGAGCCAGCCTTTCAAATCATGCATACATGTACAGAAGGAATTGGGATCTCTAGAGGACAGAAAAGCATCGCGCCTTTCGGTATTAGTTCCCACTCACTTTCCCAAAGTTCTTCTGCAAAGTATGACTCAGACCATTACATTGGTTCCTCCCTGCTCCCAAGGCAGCTCCTCACATCCCCATTTAAACAGCTAACACTGATAGTGCCACATTGGAAGCACATAAATGGAAGACTGTTGCATCAGTTCTAATGATGCAGAGAGAGAGAGAGATGGAAATTGGATGAATTGAAAAGATAGTGTATCCAATACAGTGTATGTCTTTCTTTTAATTTTTAATTGAAGATTCCCCTTCCACAAGGCAGGACCCTTGACTATGTCTGTAACATTTCACAAACTTCTGCTCTCACCCTTACATCTTCCCTCCCAGAATTGGTGGTCCTTGCCCTCACCACTGGCATCCAATGGATCATCCTTTGGCAATGACGCCACTTCCAGCAAGACACAGTTATCAAACATCTCTTTTCTGTTCACTATCAACATTCCCCATAGATTTTCATAAGATCGTGGTCCACTCCTCATTTACCACTAACACACACTCTCCTTTCCATAAGGCTTTTGTATGCAATTGCAGTAAATGCCGAAGCTGCCTTTAGACCTCTTCCCTTCTGATCATACAAGGCCCAATATAGTCCTTCCAGGCGAAAACAGTGATTTCCATGTATTTAACACTATCACATGGTACATAAAACGGAAAATAAATATTTGGCAGGATACTAGGAGAAGTACTTTGTTCATCTTTGAGCAATGCCGTGGGATCTTTCACGACCTGCTAAGATGCCGATAGGGTCTAAATTAATGCATTATCTGAAAACTGCACCTCTGAATGTTCAGCATCTCGCAGTATTGCACTGAAGTGCCAACCTGTACGATGTTCCAATTATTCTGCTTCCTCTGATCACACTTCAGCTGAAGACTGCACTTGGTCTGGACTTCCCATCTGTAATGCCACAAAAGGTCAACTAGCACTTTTAAACAGCAGCACTGACCTTGACTGTAGAATCCCAGGAAGAAGTATATAAGTGGTCATTGTACCAGCAGATCTTGCTAACAGCATCATCATGACCCATGAGTGTATCTTGTCTTCGTCCATAAGCTACTGAGTAAAAATATCTGTAACAATGAATCCAGAAAAATATCAGACCATTGTCTATACTGACGTGTCTACCAAAAATATTTACTTGAATCATTCAGTCAGTACAGGGGGACACTGTTTAACCTCTCACAACTGTCAGTTTTTTCAGAAAGCTGTCTAATTTAGATCCCGACCTGAGTTTTTTTTAAAATCTTAACTCTGTAAATTAGTCTTCTTCAATTATGCGCCCAATTGTCTGTTGAAACTTCTCATAACATCTGCACCACCCTTTCAGGTAGTACATGTCAGATCTTAAACCATCACCTGTATGAAAACATTTCATTTCTATCCTTTTGCTAATTATTTTAAACATATGATCTATTCTTATCAATCACTTGCCAGAGAATAGTCTCTCCTCACATGTTGGATCAAAACCCACTCAAAATTTTAGATACCTCTACATGCAATCTTTGAGAGTCTAATCTCAGCCATTAAAATACAACAAAAACAAAGGTCTGAAGACGCTGCAAAATTCTCTCCAATTAGAAAATCATCCATTTCCCATGACTCTCTGCCTCCTATCATTTAGCTAATTATGCACACAAGTTACCAATGTCCCTTTAATTCCATGCAAATTCCTTTGACTGAATAACCCTGTTTAATAAGATTTATGGAATGCATTTTGAAATTTCATAAATCAATCATCTACTGCACTGTCTTCATCAACCTCCTTTGTTACTTAACTGAAAAATTCAATTAGATAGTAAGGCAAAATTTGTTTTCAACGAATCTGTGCTGACTGCCCCATGTTAACCACACTTCAGGAAGTGAGAATTGATTTGTCCTTGACAATGATCTCTCAAAAGTTTGGTAATAGTTATCAAGTTTATCCCTCTTCCTTATTTTGAACAGGGTTGTAATATTTGCAATGCTGTAGTCTCACTTCCATATCTGAATATGATTGAAATTTCATGGTTAGAGCTTCTTTGATGTCCATTCCAGCTTCCTTCACTGACATAGGAGATACCCCTTCTGCAGCTCCTTCCTGTTATGGTACCCATTACATTTTACTCTTACATTCCTTTAGTCCTTCTTATACACTTTTCAGTTTCCTCCATACTCTTTCTGCTCAGTCTCCAACTTTATTCTGTAATGACATTTCCCATAACACCCTTTCTCATTTATATTTTAACCTCTACTTCTCTTGTCATCCAGGGAACCTGGTGAATTTTCCCAGCATTTTCTGTGCTTGTTTCAAGAGTTGCAGCTTCTGCAGTATTTTGCTTTTATTGAAATACATGAAGGGTTTGACCTCCTTGAAGATGGCTGAACAAACAGACATGATCACTTGTACCATTGACTGTTAAAGGATGCCAGGGAGAAGACATCAGATGCTCTGAAAATCATTTCCCAATCCTCACTAGATACAGGTGAGGATTCAAGATCAGCAAACATCACAACACTATTCAAAAAGGGTCCTAGGGGTAGGACAAGTAGTTATAGAACAGACAGTCTGACCGCAGTGGTGAACATATTGCTAGAATCAATAGAGAGAGATAGAAATCTGTTTGTTGGAAGGGCACAGGTTAATCAAGGACAATCAGCACGGGTTCATTAAGGGAAGGCCATGTCTTACTAACTTTACATTTTCTGAGAGATGAAAAGAAGAATTGATGGGGATAGTGCAGTGAATCTGATCTACATAGATCTTAGTATCACATCTGACAAAATCCCACACGGCAAATTGGTCAGAAGAATTAAGTCTGTGGAATACAGGGTAATATGGCAAGTTGTGTCTAAGACTGCCTCAGTGACACAAATCATCATGGTTGATGGGTGTTTCTATGAATGGAAAATAGTTTCCAGTCATTTTTCACAGGATTCCTTGCTCTTTGTGGTATATATTAATGATATGGACTTACATGTGGGAGGCATGATTGCGATATTTGCAAACGATACAAAATTGGCTGTGTCGTTAATCCTGAAGAGGATGGCTGCCAAATGCAGAATAAGATCAATGGTTTAGTTGGGTAGACAGGAAAGTGGCTGATGAAATTCAGTCTGGAGAAGTGCAGACTGGGGAGGGTAAGCTAAACAAGGGAATACACAATAAATGGGAAGATATTGTGAGAGGCAGAGAAACTGAAACACTGAAATACAAGTCTACAGGATCCTGAAGATGGCCGAACAAGTAGACAAAGGCAGTAAAGAAGGCATATGGGATGTTTTCCATTAATATTTAAAGTATTGAATACAAATGATGGAATGAATCAAGATGTTGGTTAGGCAACTTTGGGAGTTTTATGTACAGTTCCAGTCACATTACAAAAAGGACATAATTGCACTGGAGAGAGTACGGAGATTTACACGAATGCTGCTGCGACTTCAACACTGCAGCTAAGAAGAAGTTAGATATCCCGGAGTTGTTTTCATTAGAACAGGGAGGCTGGGGGGGTGGCATAACTAAAGTATTCAAAATAATGAGGGATATCAAAATTCTTGGTAGAATAGGCAAGGAAGATCTGTTTCCCCTAATAGAGAAGTCAATTACCATGAGACACAGAAATAAGGTAATTTGTCGGATTAGAGCGAACAGGAGGAAAAAAGGTGGTGCTGAGTGTCAGAATTTGCTGCCTAGTCTGGTGGCTGAAGCTGAAGTCCTCAAATCATTTAAAAGGAATATGGATCTGCCCCTGAAGCTTCAAGGCTATGGAGTAGGTGCTGAAAAGTAGTATTCAAATGAGCATTGAGGTTATTCAGTCACCACAGGCACACTGGTCTCAGAGCCTAGGTCTTCTCTAACTGGAACTAACTCCATTTATCCACACTCCTTAGAAAAGGTCCACTATTCCTGCCATCAGAGGTTTAGAAACAAACTGATAAAAGCAGTTCTTTTAGCAACGTTTGTTCAACAGACTATTTAATACATACAGATATTTCTCCTATAATGCGATAGTTGCGCTCGTGTGACCTCGTGCTACAGAAAATCACGCTATAGAAAATAGCCATAGAAAATCGTGTTATAGGGAAATCTCTATACAACATCACTATACTGCACAGTAGATAGTTTGCATTATCCAAACAGCATTCACTATTTATCAATTGCGTTACAACCAATTTGCGTTAACGAAACATCGCTATAGCAGAAATACCTGTACAAAAACAGAAATTGCTGGCGAACTCAGCAGCATTTTCATCGGAATTCATGTCACTGGATGCGAAACATTACCTCTGCTTTCTTCCCACAGATACTGCCAAACTTGCTAAGTTTTGCCAGCAATTTCTGTTCTTGTTTCTGATCTGATAGGCAGAGGGATCTGGATGTACAGGTACACAGGTCACTGAAAGTGGCAACGCAGGTGGAGAAGGTCGTCAACAAGGTATATGGCATGCTTGTCTTCATCGGCCGGGGCACTGAGTTTAAAAATTGGCAGGTAATGTTGCAGCTTTATAGAACCTTAGTTAGGCCGCATTTGGAATATTGTGTTCAATTCTGGTCGCCACACTACCAGAAAGATGTGGTGGCTTTGGAGAGGGTACAGAAAAGATTTACCAGGACGTTGCCTGGTATGGAGGGCATTAGCTACGAGGAGAGGTTGGAGAAATTTGGGTTGTTCTCACTGGAACAACGAAGTTTGAGGAGCGACCTGATAGAGGTCTGCAAGATTATGAAGGGCATGGACAGAGTGGACAGTCAGAAACTTTTTCCCTTGTCACAGAGATTTGTGGAAGCAGAGTCATAGAATGGGTGGAAGAGTCAGTTACTCAGGGGCATAGGATTAAGGTGCAAGTGGCAAAGTTTAAAGAAGATGTACGAGGCAAGTTTTTCTACACAGAGGGTGGTGGGTGCCTGGAACTCAGTGTCGGGGGAGGTAGGGGAAGCAGATACGGTAGTGACTTTTAAAGGGCGTCTTGACAAATACATGAATAGGATGGGAATAGAGGGATACGGTCCCCGGAAGGGTAGGGGGTTTTAGTTGTAATGGGCAGCATGTTGGTGCAGGCTTGGAGGGCTGAAGGGCCTGTTCCTGAGATGTAATTTTCTTTATTCTTTGTATCTCCAGCATTCATAGTTGCGTTTCATTTCATACATACAAATACATACACATTGTTATCCCACGATGAACAAAGGACTGTTGTATCCTCCAGTAACAAACAAGATGACAGGGCCTAATAAAAAATGGAGATCAGTTTATGAGACCAATCAGAGATTGATAAACTGAATGTACGAGGGTAAAAATTACACAGCTATCTCATGCTGTAACTTTGGCAGAAGCAGGGAGGAAAACCTGAAAGTAAAAGTATAAATTAAGGCTCATGCCATTCCTCTAGGGTTTCCAATTAACTCCTGCCAAAGTTACAATGATAATCAAGGAAGTCCTGCAGAAGTTATTAATGTTATTTATTAAATGATTTTACATCTTGTACCAATTTAAAACACATCCTCACAGTGACATTTAAGGAGGACAAGACAAAAATGTCGATAATTATTTATTTTCTAAAGCACCGATATAAATTCAACAGTGAGGGTTTTATTTTGAACGAACACAAAAAGATCCAGACTTGAAAAATATGGAAAGCTATATAATTTAAAACTGTGAAAACAGAGATGTGTTCATGCACCTTAAATATATCCTTCAGCTGTTTTGCTGATTTTTCTCACCTCTTGTCAAAGACTGGACTATAGCTTCTCATCATCCTCTATCACCTTATTTCAAAGGCACTTCTTCACTGGGAGCCTACATAATGAACATCAGGTTATTCACTCTTACAGCATGTTACTGCCTAGCTGAAGCCAGCTGTCCCTGATGACTATATGTTCACCTTCAGCATATTACCATTATCAAAACTCTCATTGACTGAGATGAGAGGGAATTTCTTACCTCAGAGAGTTGAGAGTCTTAGGAACTCTCTGTCACAGAGATCCGTGGGGGCAGAGTCATAGAATCCTACAGCACAGAGACAGGCCCTTTGGTCCAAACTGGTCCATGCTGACCATAAAGTCCATCCATGCTAATCCCATTTCCCCGCACTTGGCCCATATTCTTCTAAACCTTTCCAATCCATGTATTTGTCATACTGCCTTTTCACTGTTGTTAATGTACTCGCCTCAACCACTTCCACTAGCAACTCATTACATATGTATACCACACTCTGTGTAAAAAAAGTTTTCCCTCATGTTCCCGTGTATTCTTCCCTCTCTTACCTTAAACTGATGCCCTCTTGTCTTCGATTTCCCAACCCTGGAAAAAGACTAAGTGCATTTCACCCTATCCATACCTCTCATGAAGTTATACACTTCTATAAGATCCACCCTCAGTCTCCTACACACTAAAGAAAAAGGTCCTACATTGTCCAACCTCTCCCTATAATTTAGTCTCTTGAGACCTGGCAACATCCTTGTAAATTTTTTCTGCACTCTTTCCAGTTTAATAACATCCTTCCTATATCAAGGTGACCAAAACTGAATACAATACTCCAAATGCGGCCTCACCAATGACCTGCACAACTGCAACATAACTTCCCAACTTCTATACACAATGCCCTGACTGACGAAGGCCAGTGTGCCAAAGCCTTCTTCACTGCTCTGTCTACCTGCGATTCCACTTTCAGAGAACCATGCACCTGAACTCCAAGGTCCTTCTGTTCCACTACACTCCCTAAAGGCCCTACCATTCACCATGAAACTTCTACCTTCAGTTGACTTTCCAAAATGCAACATCTCACACTTATCAATATTAAACTCCATTTGCCATATCTCAGCCCACTTCCCCAGCTGACCAAGATCCTGCTGCAATTTCTGATAGCCTTCCTCATTGTCCACATTTCCGCCAATTTTAGTGTCATCCTCAAACTTACTAATCATGCCTTGTACATTCTTATTCAAATCATTGATATAAATAACAAACAGCAATGGGCCCAGCACCAAACCCTGAGGCAAACCACTTATCACAGGCCTCGAGTCTGACAATCATCCTTCTACTATTTTCCTCTGCTTCCTACCATCAAGCCAATTGTGTATCTAATTTGCCAGCTCTCCCTGGATTCCACTGGATCTAACTTTCCAGAGCAGCCTACCATGTGGAACCTTATCAAAGGCCTTACTGAAATCCATATAGATGACGTCTACCAGCCTGCCCTCATTAACCTTCCTGGCCACTTCATCAAAGAATGCTAACAAATTTGTGAGGCATGATCTCCCACGCATGAAGCCATGCTGATTCCTCTTAATCAAACCATGTCTTTCCAAATGTATATCTTATCCCTCAGAATCTTCTTAAGTAACTTACCTACCACAGATGTCAAACTTACTGGTCTATAATTCCCAGGTTTTTCTTTGCAGCTCTTCTTGAAAAAGGGCAACAACATTCGCTACTTTCCAGTCTTTCGGGACCTCACCCGTGGCTAATAATGATGCAAATATATCAGCCAGGGACCCCGCAATTTCTTCTCTAGCCTTGTGCAGGGTTGTTGGATATATTTAAAGTCCTTTTGTATAATTAAGGCTGAGATAGACAGATTCTTGATCAGTCCAGGAATCAAGGGTTACAGGGTAAATGCAGGAAAGTGGACATGAGGAATACCGGATCCTACTGATTGGAGAAGCAGGCTCGAGGGGCCAAGCAGCCTGTTCTTGTACAAAAACTGAGTTGCTGGAAAAGCTCAGCAGGTCTGAAAGCATCTGTGAACAAAAATCACAGTTAACATTTCAGGTCTAGTGACCCTTTCTCGTAATGATGGTAGCTAGGAAAATGTCAGTTTATATGCAGAAGATAGGGTGGGGGAGGGGGTAAGGAGTAAACAATAGGTGGAGACAGAGCTCAAAGGGAGAGAAGAATAGTTGAACAAAGGAGTTGATAACTTTCTGGCTAGGAGGGTGAATAGCCTGCTCTTGCTCCTATTTTATGGTCTTATGGATTTATCCCTTCCCTTAGACAGGCATACAACTTAAGTATGTCAATCTCAGCATTGTTCCAAGACCAGTTAATCACCATAAAGGCATACGATTTTGCATGGTCCAGGTTAGAATGTTTCAATGGTATCCTGCATAGCCTCTGGAGTAGACCTTGAAAAAAAAACGTACTCTTTGTTTGCTTTAAAATTATGTTACTTTACCCTCAGGAGCAATGAACTCCAACTGGGGATTCTTTGGCTATTATTCTTTTTCTACAGCACCAGGTCTCACCATATTTGAAAAGGACATGCTCCGCTGTAACAAGTTTTTTTCCTTGGAAAACATTTTTAATGTTGAATCTGTGTTGTGAATGAAAAGAAAGTATGACAAAAATTAATGGGTGTAAAATTGGAAGCTATATAGACGTTACAGAATGCAAATAAAAACAGAGACACTTATAAAAATGAAACATTATGTTAGTTAGCAACACAAGTTGTTAAATGATAGATAATTTTTAAAAAATTATCTTACAGTTTTACCATAAATATTATTAGCAACTTAACAGTAAGGTTGTTAAACTATTGTGGTGTTAGAAAATTAAAAACTGGCTATTCACTAAATAAAGACCTATAAAAATTGACTTTTAATTAATCAAATCTAAATTTATAGCCTAGTATAAATCTGAAGTGATAAAATATGGCTAGATTTCTGATTTATGGTTATCATGTCCTCAGATATTTAGTAAAATACCTTGGGAAGTTGTAAAGACTGAAGTTCCATTGCGAGCTACAGCGATCCCAGTCACTGCCCTAATTATAAGACAAAGATAAAATCCAAACACAATCAGAAGCCACAACACCAACAGTAAAACCTTCCTGAGAAGTCAGTGAAGACTGATCGCATCATTTTACCCTTCATCACCAAGCAACAAACATCCGTTAGCTGTCTGGCAGTCCATTTTATACAATGCCAATTGAAGAACTGAAATTACTGGCAATGATATATAATAAATTGAAAATGGAAAATAAAATCAGACTAAATTTAACATGTTCTTATCCTTTTTTCTCTTGCTACAGAAGTTAAAATTACCCACAATTATTCTTTACAATCTTATATGAAGAGAATTCAGGAGCATAATCACCCATGTGGGTCTGGAAAGGACTTTTTCATTTCTGAATTGATTAGAATTATGCTCTTACTGCCTTCCCTGGGGGATGGGAAGACAGTGAATGAACAGGAATAGCAGATGACATGAGTTAGGAATGAACATTTATGAAAGGTTTTCTCTTTTCTGTTCCTGTGTCCGTAAATATTAGTACAGTAATATTTACTTAGTCCACTGCAATTCAACTATAGCACAGTTCATCACCTCTTCATATTTTTCTATTGTTAGTAACTGAAATGCGCAGAATGAACACATATAACTTACTCTTTGTGAATCTTCTGCTGGTAAACAATACTCAGTTTGCCAATATTGCTCCAGGCTAGTTTTAGGCTTTCTTCTGTCAAATCTTCAAATGAGGAATCTTCACAGGAAGAAACTGCAAAACAGAAAATGATGCATGGAGCACAGGAAAGTCCACAACCGTGGCTGTCATGTCACCATATCATCTTCTATTAACCAGCAACACTGTAGAGATTTGCTGTACAGGAAACAGCAACTCAGTCCTCCACATCAACTTTTAAGGAACAATCTAAACCTGAAGCGTGGTTTTTCTGGTGTCATTATTTTATAAATGCAAGAGGTTATAATTAATAAATAGCCTGCATGTGAAGCACAAAGATAAGATAATTTGCCAGTCATTCAGTCATTAAAGATGCACACAAATGATTTGCAAAGATGAACTGAGAGGTTATGCCCATTATGAAACATTGCACAGACTGGGGTTTGTCTCTCTCGAGAAGGAAAGACTGAGGGGATAACCTGATGGATTTCTTTATGACAATGCATGATTTGAGAAAATATCAGTAGAAGGTCAAAGCTATGGCCAACAACTTACGACAGTACCAATTAATCTAATTGGAAATTCAGGAGAAACCTAAAGGCTGGAGAGAATGTGGATCTTACTAGCACAGACAGTAGCTGAAACAAATTACATAAAGTGGGGAGATAGGGTGAGACTGAGTTAAACAAACATGTGATGGGGAAAGGAATGGAAGTCACATGACCAGCTGATTTACTCTATTGCTCTGCAATCAAACAGGGCAGCACAGTAACTAAATGTTTAGCACTGTTGCCTCTCAGTGGCAGGGGCCCAAGTTCAATTCCACCCTTGGGCGACTGTCTGTGTGGAGTTTGCACATTCACCCCATGTTTGCATGGGTTTCTGCCGGCTGCTTCGGTTTCCTCCCATAGTCCAAAGATGTGTAGGTTAGATAGACTGGCCATGCTAAATTGCCCATAGTGTCCAGGGTTGTGCAGACTAGGTGGATTAGCCATGTTAAACATGGAGTTATGGGCATAGGGTGGAGAGATGCTGGATCGGGGTGGGATGCTCTTTGGGTTTCAGTGCAGACTCGGTAGGCCGAATGGCCTGTTTCCACACTGTAGGGATTCTCTGCAAAGATAATAACTGGAGACAAAGCATTAAATTATATCTGGTATAAAAATGAAATTACCTTAGCATAACATCTTCAGATCTCTCAAACATTGACCAGATCATTACTCGTACAGAATAATGGTAATTGCAGTTTAACTATCTGCAAATTTACCTGGAGGCAACTCAGTTACAGAAGTACTTCGGCTGCATCCTTTGGAAAGGGTTTGAAACTTTGGCATTATCCTCTGTGGATGTGGGCTGGTGAACAACTGTTTTGGTGTCTGTCCAAATTCAAGGATCTGGGTCAGCATTGCTATCTTCTGATTTGGATCCTCGATGCTGTGGGCAAGTTCATAAATATGAGTATTGAACTGATCCTGATTTTATATTAGTAGCTGTTCAATGAAAGCTACAATTAGAGTCACAGAGGTGTACATCATGGAAACAGATCCTTCGGTCCAACTTGTCGACGCCAACCAGATATCCTAAATAAATCTGGTCCCATCTGCCAGCATTTGGCCCATAACGCTCTAAACCCTTCCTAGTCAAATATCCATCCAGATATCTTTTAAATGTTCTAATTGTACCAGTCTCCACCACTTCTTCTGGCAGCTCATTGCATAAACGCACAACCCTCTGCGTCAAATAGTTGCCGTTAAGTCCCTTTTAAAACTTTCACCCTTTCACCTTAAACCTATGCCGTCTAGTTTTGGACTTCCCCACCCCAAGGTAAAGACCTTGTCTATTTACCCTATCCATGCCCCTCATGACTTTATAAACTTTTATAAGGTGACCTCTCAGCCTCCGACACTCCACAGAAATTGGCCCCGGCCTATTCTAACCAATTTCCTCTACAACTGCAACATGACATCCCAACTCCTATACTCAATGCGCTGACCAATAAAGGCAAGCGTACCAACACCTTCTTCACTATCCATACATTTTACTTCCACAATGGTTGAAAACAGTTCACATATAATACTATACATTTTAAACTATGTTAGTGCAGATTTAAAGAAGCAGGAAAATTGAGAATATTCATTACCTGCCCCAATCAACTCCACCTTCATAAGTCAAAGGATGAAACACTGTAACAAAGTTGAGATTATGAAAGTAAGTTCTTTCGGGGTGTTTAATACAACAATCTTGTTTTAATACTAGAATTCACAATATTGAAAGTCAAATAAGAATTTTTAGGGAGTATAAAAATCACAGTATCTATTTTAGGCTCAGACTTTGAGTTGAGTTTCAGCCTCAAACAGTCCAAGATGAGCAGTCTAACAATGTATAATAAAAATCATCACCCGCTCTAAGTGAAGCTAACCAACTTCTTTTGTTGCCTCATCCTGCCTAACGGTTAGTACTGTATCTCGGGGAATAAATGATAAAATGAAAGATGGTGGATGGCATAAAAATTAGTAATGAAAGGATTGATGGTATGAGTCTTAAAGGGGCAGCATAGTAATGGGATAAGTAAAGAAACAAAGGATGGATGTAACGGTAAGGTAAAGTGAAGCAACAAAACCATTATTCCTTTTATCCTACTTTCTACACTTAATCAGGTCTAATGCTACATTGAGCTTACTGATGCCTGCATAAAACATGAACATAAAAACAGTTCATGAAGACTTACATCACAAGGACTGGGAAGACAATGATAGTACACTGTATCTAACTCTGAATCAAAGTTTGTGGTGAGTAGGTAAGAAAATTGTACCCTTCTATTCAGTCTTTACAAGTTCCACTTCTAATGACATCTTTCAAGCTTTAATAAGCACAGTAAATGAAAGTTAAAAATACATTTTATGCTTCTAAATTCAAAATTTTGACATCTCCGCCACTAAAAAGTGATGCAGGAAACAAATCTTTACATGTAACACTGTATTTCTTACTTAACTAAAATTCTTCACTGTGACAATTTATAATTTAGAGAATTTTAAAAATATATATTTTCCCTCTGTCAGTTTTGGAAAAATCATACCATTATAGGCTGCAATTGCTTCACTCCCCTTTTGCTTGCAACCAAATATTAGATCGATCCACTCATGCAGATGTTCAGAAACATACTGGCTCTCCAGAGCATCTCTGTTCTTCTGGAGGAAATCATCAGGGCCTAAAGGGCACAATTCATTTTAACTCTAGTTTAGCCACATCAACACACAGAACAAACCTATTACAACAGAATATACAACACAGCAGATTCAGCTTAGGCCCTAATAAAATTGTTACAGATTGCAAATTGGTTGGATGTTCAAATTTTGTTCACTTTTCAATTTGTTTCAAGTTATTAACTGTACGCTGAAGTGCCTCTGATGTAGTTTCTGTACAGGAATTCTTCCCTCCTTTCTATTTTAACATGTGAAGTTCTAATGACTGGAAGCATACAATCTGTATATGGACTTATTCCCATGTTTTACATAAAACAGGGTAAGGCTAGACTTTAAATACCTAAGCAATGTAAATAGATATTGCCTGGTTAGAAACCAATTTTCAGTTACAAGCCTAAGACCAACACCTTCAATAGTAATTTTATTAAAACCGAAGACTGCATAGTATTATTACAAGACTAGCGTTGGACAACATGCCAAAGCAGCAAGTATATTTTAATTGACTGCAAAAATAAATTGAAAGGAGATAAAATAAGATTGTTTATTAATAGAAGCCTATATGGATGGCTAATTCTTCAGTTCATTAGTAGTACTTGTTAATGATCCTGGAATAAATAAATAAATAAACCAGTTGAAGCATTAACTTCAAATTATTTTATTTCATTCGAACACCATTTTTGTGATGAACAAAATCGTTCCTCTCAAAATTACATGAAAATCATACTAGCCACCAACTCCAACAACCATGTGCTTAACAATTTTTGCAAACCTCGATCCCCCACACATCCCACATTCTGATTCACAATATCCCCGCGCCCCAACTATCACCACCATCTTGGCTCTACCCTAATCGCAATTGCTCTAAGTATTGCCAGTTTTTTTTAAATTCATTTCTGGGATGTGGACATCACTTTAACACACCACGCTGTTCCCTCGCCAATATCTCTGTCTCTGGCTTGCTACAGTGTTCCAGTGAAGCTCAGCACAAGCTGAAAGATCAACACCTCATTTTCCGCTTGGGGACCCTGCAGTGCTCCAGACTCAATATCGAGTTCAATAATTTTAGGGTCTGAACTCTCCCATGTCCTTTACCCTACCCCACACACCTGGCCTTATCACATAGACTTGCCATTACACACTACCTATTGTTAGCCATTAACAGTCTCCATTAACAGGTATCCACTCTACTAGCCAGATCGTTTATCTATTCCTTTGGATGTCCAATTGCTCCTCTCTCTTTTTGGTCTTTATCCCCACCTCTCATTTAGTGCTTACCCCCTGTCCCCACCCTATCTTCTGCATATAAACCGACATTTTCCTAGCTATCATCAGTTCTGAGGAAGGGTCACCGGACTCAAAACATTAACTCTGATTTCTCTTCACAGATGCTACCAGATCTGCTGAGCTTTTCCAGCAACTTCTGTTTTTGTCCGCAGAACATTGGCTGAGTTTTTGGATTAATAGTCTAGCAATAATTTCACTAGGCCATCACCTCCCCAAATCAAGGAAACGACCCACACCATCTTTTCTGGGCAACTCAGAGTGATAATAAATGTAGCCTTGCCTATGTCACTCATGTCCAGAAAACTTTATTTTGAATGAAACTAAGAATGGCAGTGGACTAGAGACCAGGGGAAAAATTAAAAGCAAATAGGTTATCATTATCTGATTACAAGTACTTAAGTGAAATACATGGAAATACATAAAAAGTTGTGAGCAAATTACTAAATCCTCCTCACCTTCCCAAGTTATCTACTGGCTAGCAGTGGCATGGAAAGAAACAAGCTTAGAAATTTTTAAAAAATATGTTAAGTGTACTAACTAGTAATCTCTATTTTGGCAAATAAATGCACAACACCATTGTCAACAACTCTGGTTCAAATAACGTTAAAGACTTTTTGTGAAAAGAAAAGATGGCTCAAGGGTCTCCAGAAGAAAAAGAATTTCAGTACTCTCTGTATATGAAATAATAGAAATTAGATTTTAAAAAGCTATATAATTTTTAAGTACCTGAAGCCCATGGCGGAAGCTCTACAGAGTCTACCATCTTGCCTCCCTGCCTCTTCCCAAGGTCCAACTTCAAATTGTTCACTATGAAGCTGGAATTTGTGCCATAGAACTCCGGGATCAACTAGAAAGTGAAATAACCATTAATAGAACAATTGGGAATTTAGATACTTCAGATTCAGATAGAATAAATATGATGACCATCTCCTACCTCCTTGAAGTCTGTTGCACCTTCTAAACAATTTTTCCAGGTCTCTGCAAAACTAAATAACGAATAGACATTTATTGCACATATACAGATCTGCACACAAACAGGATTTTTATAATGAAGTACCAGGTTGTCCCAAAGATATTAATACTAACCTGTTGAACATTCTGTCTGCATTGTCAAATTTTCCATTTTGTAAACACAACATATACTCAGGGGCTGAGAAAGAAAAAAAAAGCGAGAATTGAAAAAAACTTCCAAATAAAAAAATTATCCAATTCAGAAACAAAAAACATTGCAAATATAGTACAGTTCTGTCAGCATCTGTAAAGACTAAATGGCAATTTTATTCTGTGGTGTTAGGGAATTGTCCATATTCATGGTTTATATTTAAAAATGTCCATAGTTTTTTTAAATAAATAACTTATAAATTAGTTTTAAGTTTAACCCTTTGTGTACCGCTGAACTTTGTCAGAAAAAAATGACCTTAAAAGAATACACTCAATTTTCAGCACCAATTCAAGTTAAAAGAGCACATATTGTGAAACTGTACATGTCTAATAATTTTTCATTTGTAATTTTAGTCAATAACAGAAGTGGGGTGAGGAAGTCATAGCAGAAGATGCCCAGATATCAGCATTCTTAAGATAGGAGAATACATTTATAACCTTGATCTTTAAATCTATTCCTAAAGAGCACCCACCTAAAAGAACAGAGGAATTATGGACAAAGAAGGCATAACAATGTCTCCTAAAATGTTTTAATCTTTATTTTCTTCTCCCTTTCACTACAGACCTGTGTAGCTTTAGTGATCTGTATACAGGTATTGCAACATTATAATGGGCACTATTGGCCAAGTTAAAGCTGCAGCACTGGAACACCTTTCTGAATACTGCTCTTTCTAATGCTGCTTCTGGATGATCACAACTGTGGCTGAATTTGTTGAAGTAAAACGATGGTGAATAGTACATAAACATTTGGAGCGGCTACCTTAATTCTCTTCTGCATAGCATTAGAATGGTTTACATAATTACAAACAGCCATCTGATCAGGAGTTTTGCATTACTACTGAAAAAAATACCCATCCGTCTTAGGTCATCCCTTCTGAAAACAAAGACATAGAAATAAAAACTATTGGTGCAATCTTGGTGGGTAGAAGGGCCCGTTCCTGCACGGTACTATTCTTTATTCTTTCTTTGTTTCTAAACGTAACATACAATTTGCTTCCTTTTTTAAAATGGTCATGTAATGCAGAGGAAATAATCAGCACCAGAATTTACAGTATTACGCTGGGCTAGCTGCATCTGAAATTATTAGGTTTTGCTTTTATTTGCACTTTATTTTCTACCCATTCAAAGAGTCAGAGAATTTTCAACTAGTCAGTGGTTTTAAAAAAAGTAACCTTACCAACTCTCACAAGGTAGAACAGGACATAGCCTGGAGAAGAATAATGACTTCCATACATGAACTTTGGGTCAGGCATTTCTCGATAGCGAGCCTAAAATGAAAGGACACGATGAATTTCCTATTTACTTTACTTGATTTAGACTTAAAGCACATGGCTAGATGTTCTGAAAAATCATTGTTACCCACACACCAAATTTTTGCACTAACTAACAGGAAATGTGAATACTGGGAAAGGACCATTTTACCATTTTGGGCACTCACGGTTAATAGGCTCAGCTACTTGCAAAATGCCATATTTCTTTTACACCAAAAATGTATCTTAGCCCCAGATTCAGCATAACATCTTCTCATACCATTCAGCATCATGATCTTTTTGAGTGAAACTGACACATGCACCATCTATGGGCAATTTTGCATCATGAGCTCACATTATTGAGACCAAGCAGAGACTGTCCCATATTATTTATGTAGGAATTCATTTCAGCTGACTTTAGCCTACATTGTAATTGAACTCAGACCAAATGGCAACACAACTTGTGTTTATATAATGCCTTTAATATAGAATCACATCTCAAGACATTTCACAGAAACAAAATCAAATAAAAGTGAAAGCTAAGCCAAAAATGTACAGCAGGGTTGTGGTACACGACTTTAGATAAAGCTGGATTTTAAGGAGATGGAGAGATATTAAGATGGAATTCTACAGCTTAACACCTGGCTGGTTGAAGGCACAGCTACTAATTGTGACATAGGAGATGCACAAGATGAAAGAAGTGAAGTAATGTATGATTCTCATAAGGTTGCAGGATTGTAGAAAATTTTACAGATAACATAGGAAACAATTAGGTTAAAAAGGGACTTAAACATGCGGATAAGCAATTTTGTGAGAGGCATTAGGGAACTAGTCTTATGGAATATTTCTGAGGAAAGAGCACCAGACCCGAAACGTTAACTCTGATTTTTTTCGTCACAGACTCAGATAGACCCTGCTGAGCTTTTCCAGCAACTTCTGTTTTTTGGTCTTATGGAATGTTGGTCAATAAACATACAGATTACAAGTGAGTAGACTGTAGGTACATAAAGTATATCCACAGTTTTGAATGAGCTGAAACTTATTGAACATAGGATGCCAGCCAGGAGAAGCAACCAAGACACAAGTGCAATAAGAGCACATTACTTTCAGCAAAGTCAAAAACCAGCGAAGAAAAAGCTGAATGGAAGCAGCTGAAGCTGAGGCTTTCGTTGATTCTGGAGTCTCATGTGTAAAATTAGGGGCAATCCATAAAGAAAAAGCTGCAGACTTTAATGTTGAACAAAGATTAGGGCACTAGATCTTCTTCAGCAATGAATAAACATTGGCATAGAGTTACAGATCTGTAACACAGAAACAGACTCTTCAGCCCATCTCTTCAATGCGGGTCAAAAGCAATCACCTAACTACCTAATGGGCATCTTACACTTCCTGTTCTTTTTATTTTCTTAGCTAAATTGGACACAAAGCAGTCTAATGTGAAGATAATCACAAAAGTAATAAACCCTCAAATTTACCTAGGTTAAAGTCAGAAATCACATGGCACCAGGTTATAGTCCAATAGGTTTATTTGAAAACACAAGCTTTCTGAGCCTGACTCCTTCTTCAGGTGTTAGTGACACAGATAGTATCAGATGCAAAATTTATAAGTAAAAGATCAAAGGTTCACACCATTGATAAGGATGTACTAAACAAACCTAAGATGCTGTTAAATCTTTAATCAGTTAGAAGGTTTTAATTAATACGTACATGTAAATCCCCAAATTCCTTTCAAGTCACGGTCCTGACAGAAATAAAGGTGTTATCAGTGTAAAGAAGAGGTGACATTTTAGGTCAGATAATGCATGTTGGGTGTGAGACCTTGTTTAGAATCTGTTTGTGTTTTACTTTGGATTCAGACCGGTTTTAATTTTAAATTAGGAATTTATAAAATACCATATTGACTGGCTGTCTATAAATTATGTGCTTTTTTAACAAATTAAAATGTATCTGCAAATATAAATTCACCCCATAGAGAGTGTTTGCATGTGAGTGCATGCGAAAGTGAGAGTACGCGCAAGAGTGAGTGTGAGTGCGCGTGTATGAGTGTGCACGCGTGTATGAGTCAGTGCGCATGTATGAGTGAGTGCGCACGTGTGTGTGTGCATGTGTATGAGAGTGTGAGAGAGCGGGTGTATGACAGTGTGCGTATGAGAGTGCGTGCGCACATGCGTATGAGAGTGTGAGTGCGCGTGCATTAGTGTGAGTGCTTGTTTGAGAGTGTGTGCGTATGTATGAGTGTGTGTGCGCGTGTATGAGAGTTACAGGGTATGCGCGTGCGTGCGCGTGTGAGAGAGAGAGACAGAAAGAGAGAGAGAAAGTGTAGTGTGGTGGGGTGGGGTCACCTATAGTGTGACATGAACCCAAGATCCCAGTTGAGATTGTCCTCATGCGTACGGAATTTGGCTATCAGCCTCTGCTCGGTGACTCTGTGTTGTTGTGTATCCCTAAGTCCGCCTTGGAGGACATTTACCCGAAGATCCGAGGCCAAATGTCCTTGCCCGCTGAAGTGCTCCCCTGCTGGGAGGGAACATCCCTGTCTGGCAGTTGTTGCGTGGTGTTCATTCATCTGTTCTCATAGTGCCTGCCATGCACGCTTGCACAGACAGACAGACACAGACACACACACACATACACACACACGCTCTCCCTCTCTCTCACACGCACCCACATTTTCTCTCTCTCACCCTTCACATGTGCATATACACTTTCTCCTCCCTCACACACTCTCCCCCCCACACACACACTCCCTCACTCTCTCTCACACACACACACATTCTCTTACCCCCCCCACACGCGCACACACTCTCTCTCTCTTCCCCTCCTCACTCTCTTTCTCTCTCTCTCGTACACACACACACACGTATACACACACATGTATACACATACACACACACACATTTTATTTTGCTCAAAAAGCACACAATTTATAGACAGTCAGTCAATATGGTGTTTTATAAATTCCTACTTTAGACATAAAACCAGTCTGACTCCAAACCAAAACACAAACAGATTCTAAACAGGGTCTCACACCTAATATGCATTGTCTGACGTAAAATGTCACCTCTTCTCTACACTGATAAAACCTTTATTTCTCTCAGGACTATGACTTAAAAGGAATATGAGGATTTACATATACATATTAAACAATTAAAACTTTCTAACTGACTAATGATTTTACAGCATCTTAGGTTTGTTTAGTACATCCTCCTCAACGGTGTGAACCTTTGATCTTTTACTTATAAATTCTGTGTCTAATACCCCACCTCTCTCATTAACGTCTGAAGTAGGACTGAGGCTCCAAAAGCTTGTTTTTTTCAAATAAACCTGTTGGACTATAATCTGGTGTTGTGTGATTTCTGACTTTGTCCACCCCAGTTCAACACCAGCACCTCCACATAATCGCTTCAGTTAGGCTTACTAAACAAATATCCAGCTATACTCTGAAACAGTCACTGCGACTGTTTTCATTTTCCCTCACAATTTCTGTCTATGACAAAGTTATATTACCATTAAATGAACTGATCTGAACGATAAAACCTACAGCAGCAAAAGAAGCATCCCTGTTTCCACACTGTAGGGATTCTATGATTCCATGATTCTATGATTCTATGAAGTGCAGGAAAAGTAGGATTTACAAACAAGCAGTGAATATTACTTCTGTTTGTGTCACTGTTAGATTTGGGCCTGTGGAATTCATATCCTACAGGTAAGCAAAAGTTAAAAACCTCTGCAAAGTGTGAACAATTTATCTGTGTTGATATACTATTCAGGTCAACATCAGATCTAACACCAAGCAGAGCTGTAATGGTTCCTGCCCTCCTATATGGCTCTGAGACGTGGACACTTCAAGGTACTGGAGCAGTACCACCTGCTGCAAATTCGCTTGGAAGAAAGGTGCACCAACACCAGCATCCTTGACCAGGCCAACATCCCTGGCATCGAGGCGCTGACCACCCTTGGTCGGCTACGATGGGCTGGGCATGTCATCAGCAATGACCGACATGGGACATCCCTAGCAGGTGCCATACTCCAGCCTTCAAAATGGCAGGTGTGGACAGAGGACAGAGGAAGTGTTTCAGTGATGACCTCAAGACCTCACTGGCAAAGTGCAGCATTCCCACAGACACCTGGGAATCACTGGCCCAAGACCATGAAAGTGGAGGAGGAGCATCCAGGGTGGCATCGAGCAAGTCGGGACTTGCTGTCATGAAAAGGCAGGTGTCAGGTGAAAAGAGCGAAAAGATCGTGGTGTCACACCAACGCCCCACCCACCCCTTCCTGTGACCACCACTTGCGCCATTTGAAACAGAGCCAGTGGAAGCCGCATCGGTCTGTACAGCCACCTACGGACTCACTCTGAGAGTGGAAGACAGTCATCCTAGTCTCTGAGGTATGCCAATGAATGAATGAATGACTATTCAGACATATCTGTTGTTGGGCTCAACTTATGGAGGGTGAAATTGCCATAATCCTACCAGACTACAGAGCTGCACTCTCAGTAGAGAGTTGATTGGTGGTGGCTTAAAGTGGGGGTCAACACACCTCAGGTGAAGGCAGAGGGTGAAAAGGAAACACCTTCATGGTATCAGTTGGTGCAGGAATTGAACCCATGCTGTTGGCGTCACTGTAAATCATAAACCAGCTGTCCAGCCAACTGAGCTAACAGACATCCTTCAACATATACAAAACTAATGTGACAGTAAAATTTAAGTATAACCAATGCTATTTTAATTGGCTGGCATTAAATAAATGGAAATGGGAAATGCCAGGATGGCTATAGTGTGCACTAAATTGATTTGAAAGCTAGAAATACAAACAGCCTGCTGCACACCAGATTTGACCTTTTTTTTCCCCAGTTTATATGACTATCTTGCCATGTCCATAAGGTCCCTCACCAACTTCTACAGACGCTCCATTGAAAGCATACTGTCCAGGTGCATAACGGCCTGGTATGGCAACTGCTCTGTCCCGGACCGTAAGAAACTACAGAAGGTGGTGTGCACAGCCACCAAGGAAGCCAAACTTCCATCCGTGAACTCCATTTACATGCCTTGCTGCCACGGAAAGGCAGTCAACATCAAAGACTCATCGCACCCCAGAAATGCTCTCCTACAACCCCTTCCATCAGGCAGAAGATACAGAAGCTTGAACACACACACCAGCAGGTTCAGTAAATGCTTCTTCCCAGCCATTATCAGACTGATGAATGGACTCTCTAGTCTCAAATAATGCTGATCTTGCTAATATTGATCTCACCTAGCGCACGCCTTGTGCAATGTAACCTGTACGTCTCTGTCTAAGTCTTTTTGATCTGTACATCCTTTGTTTACTATGATTTGCCTGTACTTCTCGTAAATAAAGCTTTTCACTGTGTTTCAGTACATGTGACAATAAATAAATAAATCAATCAAACAATAAATATCTGGAATCAAAGGATATCAAATTGCTTCCAAACAACTTTCAAAATACTGTCAAGGTATGCTCAGAATTAAACCACCAAAAATATCCATTTGAAAAGGAACCATACCAACAATCGATCTAAACGCTCTTTATTTAAGGCACCAACAGGTTTCCTAAGGTCACGAAATGTTTCAGGATTGGACAGATCTGTTTCAAGACAAAAGTTAGAGATGGGCTATGATAATTGCAGTTAGATGTACATAATACCATTTAAGATACAAATGGGCGATATGGGTTTGAGAAACAGTACTGACAGAGTTACCTAATTCTGAGGAAGTATAATCAGCAATGATCCAAGGAAAGATGGGATACTGAGACAGGTCGTTACAACTGCGATCAGCCAGATTGTTCAGGTGCAAGAGATACTGATAATTTGAGAGATATCCTCTTTGCCATTGTAGCATACAGCTTTCAGCAGTGTGTTCAATAATATGATTTTCTGTAGGAAGAAATGTGAGGGAAAATAAACTTTACAAAGATTGTTACAGAAAGTAATTGGATATTAGCCTCTTGCTATAAGGGGACCAATAATTCTCAATTGGCACAGACAATTGAGCACTGCAGCTCCTTTCCACCTCTGGAAAATTTTATAAAATTGGAACAGGCAGACAGGTACCAGAAATATCGCCAATTTCGCAGCCACCATCCCATACAGCTGGGATCACCACTTTCTCACCCACTTCTGGACACCAGGAAATCCCACCTACACTGTCTGAAATCAGCCCATACGCAGTCTGCAGTTATATGGAAACTTGATGCAGCTAATGGCATGGGTGTGGCAGGAACAGACACTTTGCAGTTAAGAGAAGTAACATTACTAAAGATGAATAAGATGCAGTCAAAGACAGAGTTTTCAGAAGTTTTAGTAGGTGATGAAGAGAAGTAACAAGATATGAAGTCACCCAGATGTTTCTACATCTCGGAGCTACGCAACCTTTCACAAGTTAGAGAAATGCTTCTTTTTATTCTTCCTGCCAAAATAGACAATTTCACACTTCCCCAAATTGTACTCCATTTGCCAGATGTTTGCCCACTTACTTAAGCTATCGATATCCTTTCGTAGACTCTATTTCCTCTTCACAACTCACTTTCCTGTCTATGTGTCATCAGCAAATTTAGCTACAATACCTTTGATGCCTTCATCTGGATCATTTTATATAAATCGTAAAGAGTTGAGGCCCCAGCGCTGACCCCAATTGCAAAGCACACGTGACATCCTGCTAGCCTGAAAAAGCCCCACTTATGCCTACTCTCTGTTTCCTGTTAGCCAGTCAATCTTCAATTCATGCCAATATGATAACCCCCAAACAATGAGCTTTTATTTTTCACAAGAAACTCTGATGTGGCACTTTAACAAATGCTTTCTGGAAATCTAAGTACAATACATCCACTGCCTCCCCTTTATCTACAGCAAAAGTTACTTCTTCACAAAACTCCAATAAATTAGATAAACATGATTTCCCTTTGACAAAACCATGCTGACTCTGCCAAATTATCTTGAACATATCCGAGTGCCCTGTTCTAATGTCTTTAATAATAGTCTCAGAATTCCTACAGTGTGGAGACAGGCCATTCAGCCCAAGTCCTCATCATCCCTCCAAAGACCATTCCACCCAGACCCAGACCCTTACCCTATCCCTGTAACCCTGCATTTCCCATGGCTAATGCACCTAATCTACACATCCCTGAACACTATGGGCAACTAAGCAACTTATGGGCTCCTCCGCCCCCACATCAACAAGTTCCATGCCTTCCACAACGTGAAACTCTTCTTTCGCCGCCTCTTCGATATAGACTCCCGACCACCCTCCGGGGACCTCTTCTCCCACCTCTAACCTTCCTCCTCCTCCTCCTCTTGGACACCCCATCAGGCCCTCTTACCCGCCCTGGACCGCTTCATTGTTAACTGCCAACGTGACATCAACCACCTCGATTTCTCCACACCACTCACCTACTCCAACCTCTCCTCCTCTGGACATACGGCACTCCACTCTCTCAACACCAATCCCTGTTACGCTATCAAACCCTCTGACAAAAGTGGGGTGGTGGAGGACGGACCTCTATGTCACAGAGGCCAAATGCCAACTCTCCAACACCACGTCCTACCTCCCCCTTGACCATGATCCTAATGTGACCCATCAAGCCACCGTCTCCCACACTGTCAATGACTGCATCGCTTCTGGTGACCTCCCCTCCACCGCCTCTAGCCTTATAGACCCTCAGCCCTGCACCACCCGGTTCTACATGCTCCTCAAGATCCACAAGTCCATCTACCCTGGCCAACTCAACATTTCCGCATGCTCCTGCCCCACCGAACTCATCACTTCCTACCTCGACTCCATTCTCTCCCCTTTGGTCCAGGCACTCCCCACCTACATCCAGGACACAAACCACACCCTCTACCTCTTTGGAATCTTCCAGTTCCCTGGCCCCCAGTGCTTCATCTTTACTATGGACGTTTAATCCCTATACACGTCCATGTCCCACACAGGCAGCCTACAGGCCCTCAGTTTTTACCTCTCCAATAGGCCCATCAACTTCACTAACAACTTCCACCGCACCCTCAATTTCACTTGGTCTATCTCAGATGACTCACACCCCTTTCTTGACCTCTCCGTTTCAATTTCTGGCGACAGTTTACAGACTGATGTTTACTAATAACCCAGACTCCCATAGCTACCTAGACTACACTTCCTCCCACTCTGTATTCTGCAAAATCTCCATCTCTTTTTCCCAATTCGTCTGTCTCCATCGCATCTGCTCTGATGAGGTGACGTTCCACTTCCAAGCATCCTGCATGTACACCTTTTTCAAACAACGCTCTTTTTCCCCCTCTATCATCCAGACGATCTCCAGCGTGCCTCCTCCATTCCCCACTTCACAGCTCTTAACCACTAACCGCCTCCAAACATAACAAAGATAGGGTCCCCCTTGTCCTCACTTTCCACCCACCAACCTCTGCGTCTAACGTATCATCCTCAAACACTTCCGCCAACTCCAGTTAGACCCCACCACCTGGAACATCTTCCACTCCCCACCCTTCTCTGCCTTCCGCAAGGACCCAGTCCTGAAGAAGGGTAATATCCGAAATATTGACTGCTTCTTTGCTCCAGATACTGCCGCCTGCTGTGTTCTTCCAGCCTCCTGTTTGTCTACCTTGGATTGCAGCATCTGCAGTTTTTTTGTCTCTATCCAACAAACTGGAACCCATTTCTCCCTTACCTGTATTTCAGTCAACATTCGCCTTTCTAACTGATTAACCCTGTGCCAACTTGCACATGGCTCAGGTAATAATCCAGCCCAGAGCAAATATCCTGAGCCCTAGTACCAGGCAGATATCACAGCCGTCTGGATTCTCCTTGTGTCAATGTCGCTGGCTACGCAGTCCCAGCTACTACTACATTCCTTTTGGCTCCCTTCCAATCCCTGCTCCAAAGGCCTCCTGTACCATGGTGCCATAGTCATTTAGTTCAACTATCTCACACACCCACTCCCATTCCAAGGCTGACACTCCCACACTCCTGTCTTCTGGTTCCCCTTACTTGCCTCACTTGCAGTCACATCCTGTCCCTGACCACATCACAACACCCTTTCCTAACAGGTGTGACTGCCTCCTGGTACAAAAAAAAATCCAGATAACCTTCCCACCTCCTTGATGCATTGCTGTATCTGTAGTTCAGCCTCCAACACCCAATGTGACTTTTTTGTTTTCAAGAACTCACTCCATTTAACATTTTATTTGCGAATAGGTATTTGTCACATGAAGAATCCCACCTCTTGCCACTATCACACTTCACATCATCCACAATAATGCAGCTTTTTATTTAGACTTGGGTTAAACCACAAAAATCAACGAACTAAACAGCCGGATACTACTATAAATTAATATTATGATATGGACGTGGCAGATGCAGTAAATTATGATAATGTTAATTAATGTTGCAATGCTTTAAGAATTATAAATTCATGAATGTTAGACCATAAAATGTACAGCAGATAAAAACCTTATGAAACAGTCCTGTAAACATGTTTCTGTCCAACACTTAGTTAAATAGCGAATGAAACAATGAGCTATTTTCAAGGAGAGCTAATTTATTTATTAACCCAGAGAGCTTCAGTAATCATTAATGTGCATCAATTCAGTTTATTTGCACTGTGGTATGTCACAAACCTTCTATATCAGTTCCCCAACTGTCACTGAATGTTGCTCCCATAAAATAAACAAAAAGGCAGAAAAGAATACTGCAGTGAATCAACGTTTTTATTACAAAATTCCATTTTTGAAAAAGATCATAACAAAATATAAAGTTCAGTGTGAACAAGCCTAGAACTGGTTTTATTGAATAATCCTTAAATATGTAAACAAATAAAACAGAGCTGTAACACTTTCACCTGACCAAAATAGACTCGTTCTAGTTCCAAGGTTGACTACCAACTGAATCAGTATATCTCTGTTCAAAAACATTGCTGGTTTTCAAAGATTTGAGAAAAGAAAATGGATTAGTTTTGTTCCTTACCTAGAATTGGCATGTGATTGTTAGCAGTTAAATCTAAGACTTTGGTATTTACTGACCTAAAAAGGTTGCAATGTAGTAGTAGAGCTCATCACGATTTTTGGAGTTATAAAATTTTAAGTAGATATCAGAACAAAGATCATCTTCTGTACAAAATACTTCAAGACCCTAAAGGGAGAAACAATGAAATGGGAAAACTAAGAAATTAAAAACCTCATTGCAAATCTGAGGCAACATACAGGACAGCAAACATTAACACTGCAAAGTCGCCAAATTTCTATGATGAAATTTAAATGTACACCTCACTTTAAGAGCAGACGCCTTACTGTACAATGAATGATAAGAAAATATACAATAATGAATGTTGATTGATTATCCAATTCTTTTAATAGCTTAATTAAGTACATCTACTGAAAACTGTTATAAAAGACATATAATCAAATTAAATCATGAACACTCACCAAAGGTTTTAATCCATGTCGCCTTTTGTAAATCCGTCTTACTTCGTGCAACTTTACTTGTATAACTGTCTCCTAAAAAGCATTGCATTGTTATGTGTATTAATTATTTAGCAATCTCATAAAGTGAGACACACTTACTCAGGCTGTTTTATACTGTCAAAGATAAGAGCACATGACAGGGAAACAAAATGTTTGGCACAACTACGCAGTCTCCTACCATCTTTTATTTTCCAATTCAATAAACATAACTCCCTAGTTTCTTCTCTGTCATATAAAAATCTACCTTTTCCTTAAAAGTAACTGCACTGCTCACTTCAACAGCTCCTGCAGTAGACCATTTTGCATTCTCATCATTCTGAGTAAAGAAATTTCTTGTGAAATTCTGATTAGACTTCCTGGTGACTAGTGATGGCCTCTATTATGTCAATCTTCAGTCTGAGCTATTCAAGAAAAAGGAGTACCAGCCTTTTGAAGATCCTGCTTTGTTATGTATTATCTTGCATTTCTAGTATCATCCTTATAAATCACTTTATGCACTCTCTCCATAGCTTCTGCATCCATTTATTTGTAATAATATACTTTTATGGAGGAGGGGAGGTTAACCCCTCTGATAATTGAACCAAAACAAGAGCCCCCAATCTGTTATGGCCAACGTAGAGGTTCCCTTCTAATAATTGAACCCGAAACACTCAGAGAAGCTCACCTCACCTTTATAATCTGTTAAAAAGTGTGATTAAATGAAAGAAAATCCCTGATATTCACTTTATTACTAACAAGTAACAATTTATTAATTCAATCCCAACATTCAGCAAATTAGCAGAATTACTAATAAACCGAACAATTCCCCCTTAACTACTAACTATTCCGTAACTGAACTAAATTCTACTGGTATGCTGTTTCAATAAATACAAGTCCTACTTTTTTAAACCCAAATAATAAGAAAATAAATTAAAACTTAGTCTCTCAAAGTCTACGTGCCTTTATTCTGCTGATCTGGCTGTCAGGAATGTTTTCTCTGTGAAGTCTTCTGTGAGGACTCTTAGCTAGAAGCACTGTGGTATCTTTTATGGATAAGATGGTGCTTTCTTAAAGAGCTTAGTGATTTCTTGTGAGATCTAGATGCTTATTTCTCAGATGGCGTTCGCTCTCACACTGATTTTCAAAAACCCTCTCCTTATATACACCTTGGATGACATATCAATTTTCTCTTAACAGTATTGGTCCGAGGTTGTCAAAACCATCAGATTTAAATTCAAAATCAAAAGAATTGCAGATGCTGTAAATCAGGAACAAAAACAGAAGTTGCTGGAAAAGCTCAGCAGGTCTGATCTGTGAAGAAGAAAAATCAGAGTTAATGTTTCAGGTCCGGTGACCCTTCCTCAAAACTCTGAGGTTCTTCTTGTTGAGCTTTTCCAGCAACTTTGTTTTTGTTCCTGTAAGGCTCTCTCTGACTCTATTTGGAATATTGTGAGCAGTTTTGGACCCCATATCTAAGGAACAATGTGCTGGCCTTGGAGGGGTCCAGAGGAGGTTCACAAGAATGATTCCAGTCATGAAGGGCTTATCATATGAGGAGCGGTTGAGTACTCTGGGTCTGTATTTGATGGAGTTTTGAAAGATGAGGGAGGAATCTCATTAACATTGACAGAATACTGAGAAGACTGGACAGAGTGGAACCTCAAGAGTTCTGACGAAGGGTCACCAGACCCGAATCGTTAACTCTAACTTTTTCTTCACAGATGCTGCCCGACCTGTTGAGCTTTTCCAGCAACTTTGTTTTTGCTCCTGATTTGCAGCATCCACAGTTCTTTCTGTTTTGACCAGAGAGAGCCTTATACAGTCTTCGCAGTCTAGAGTACAAGTCTCCATACTATTGCTGGAATGCTGTCAAGCCCATTGCCTTTTCAGTATCCAGTGCTTTCAGTTTGCTTTTTGATATCACGTGCAGTAAATCAAATTGGCTGAAGACTGGCATCTATGATGCTGGGGACCACTGGAGGAATCAACAAATCAGGAACTAAAAAAAAAAATTATTATCACTTTTTAATTTACACAGTGTAAATTAAACATGGGACTAAGCCAGGAACTGAAACTTTGAAAAAGACTTTAAAACATGTTTGCAGTGGAAATTATTACTTAAAGAAGAGTTACATTTCATTCAAAAATGTATTAAACTTTCGCTAATTTGTATTGTAAGATTAGTGTCTGAAAAATAGAAGCTAACATCAAGGCATCATTTTCTGTACTGATTATATCTGTAAAAGCTGTGTCAGAGCATTCCTAACAGGAACCTCCAGATTCCTGTGTTTAACGGCGCATCTGTGGCATACCAAAAGTTACTATTTTTCCCTAAGCAAAAATGGTTAACACCCAATTCAGGTGTCAATACACCACAAATTATTTATGGATAATAGTGCCTCTGCTGTCTCCTCTCTTGATTCTTATGAAATGCACAGATGTAATCCATCCAGCTCTGGAGTTTTAGCCTTTGACATTAATTAGTTCAAACACTTTCTTTTATTAAAATTTTAAGTATGGATACATTTCTATTGTTTCTTTTCTAATGTCACTTCCACCAGGTCCTTCCTAGTATATAATTAAACAAAGAAATTATTTAATACTTCATTCATTTTGCTATAGCTGCCTGTGTGTCCCAGTAGAACTTTTCCACTGTTCTATGTTTGTCAACTTTACTCCAATTATTTTGTAAACTTTCCCCTGTTGTCCACCTCTTTAAGGCATTTCTAAACGCTAATTTTTTTCCTTTGTCTTTATTCATCCAAGTTCTTCATTAGGGTTGAGTTTGTTTTTGTCTTTCAGCAGAGTATTCAATCTGGCCACACATTGTTCATCCTAAAAGATTCAGTAATTGTTTAATTTATGACAAAGAAATTCAAAACTATGCTGGCATTGTGATTCAGTGGTCAAACAACCCGTTAAGATGGGAAAATCCCAAAGCTTTGTATACATTTATTAAGAGTAAGAAGATTACCAGGGGAAAACATGGGACATATTAGAGACCAAAGGGACAAAGAGTGCATGGGGCCAGTGGACATGGGTGAGGTCTTAAATGAATACCTCTCATCTGTATTCAGTGAGGGTTTCAGCTGGGATGGTGAGTCTATAGAACATGTTAAGATTAACAAGGAGAAGGTATTAGATGTCTTAGAAGGCATGTGGGTGCATAAATTCCCAGGGCCTGACTGGATATATCCCAGGCTGCCATGGGAGGTAAGGGAGGAAATTGCTAGGTACCTGGCTCAGATATTTAATACTTTGTTGGCCACAAGTAAGTGTCAGATGACTGGAAGATAGCTAATGTGGTTCATTTGTTCAAGAAGGGCAGCAGGGATAGGCCAGGTAATTACAGACAAATAGTCTGACATCAGTGGTAGGGAAATTATTGCAAAAAGTTCTGAAGGACAGGATTAATCAGTACTTGGAAAGGCAGGGATTGATCAGGGATAGTCAGCATGGATTTGTTAGAAGGAGATCCTGTCTTTAGTTGACTTTTAGAAAAGGAAACTAAATATATTGGTAACAGTGGTGCAGATTATGTGGTTTACATGGACTTCAGTAAGGTCTTTGACAAGGTCCCACATGGAAGCTTGATTCAAAAGGGAAGAACCCATGGATCCAAGGTAAGTCGGCCAATTGGATCCAAAATTGGCCTTCAAATAGGAGGCAAAGGATGATGGTGGAGGGTTGTTTCTGTGATTAGAAGCCTGCAGCCAGTGGTGTACCACTGGGATCATTGTTTGTTATGTAGATTAACAAGATGGATGTGAACATACAATGTATAGTTAGTAATTTTGCAAATGACATAAAAATTAATAGTATTCTTGATAATGAGGATAATAGTCTCATGCTACAGTCTGATAGCAATCAGCTAGTAAACTGAGCAGAGCAATGGCAGACGGAATTTAATCCTGTTAAGTGCAAGGTGATGCATTTTGGGAGGTCTGATAACAGAAGGTCATACACAATAATGAGGGGTTCCCAGGAAGTACCAAGGAACAAAGTGACCTTGATTATATCCAAGTCCGTAAATCTCCGAAGGTGTCAGCACAGGTAGACATGGTGGTGAAGGAGGCATATGGGATGCTTGCCTTCATTAGTCAGGTCATACAATATAGGAACAAGGAATTGTTACAACTTTATAAAACATTGGTTGGCCATCAATGGAATACTATCTGTGGTTCTAGTTGCCACACTATAGGAAGGATGTGATTGCACTGGAGAGAGTGCAGAGGGAATTCACCAGGAGGTTGCCTGGGATAAAAAGTCTCAGTTATGAGGAGAGACTGGAAAGGCTGGGTTTGTTTTCTTTGAGCCTCTGAGGAAAGGTCACCGGACCTGAAACATTAACTTTGATTTTTTCTTCCCAGATGCTGCCAGACCTGCTGAGCTTTTCCAGAAACTTTGTTTTTGTTCCTACTTTACAACATCCACAGTTCTTTCAATTTTTATTTGGGATTAGTGTAGTTTGGTGTTTGTTGGTCAGCGTAGACATGGTGGGCCTGACAGCTTGTCCCTATGCTGTATGACTCTATAGCTCTGAGTTAAATTTCATGAAGAATATTAGATGATGCAGGATTCCTTCAATCATGAGAAACTAATCATAATGTGACTCAGCTTTAAATAGCAAGTCATTTCAAATCTGACCATATTTTCTTGGACCAAAATTACCCTGCACATACATTGCAGGAGTTTCAATCCACAGAACGGCCTACTATATTCAACTTCTTTATTCGACTAATATGCCTGTCCCTTACGAAAACAGATCTCAGCCCACTCTTTGACCACAGACACATTTGTTTGTCTCACAATCTTCTTTGAATGCACCATAGCAAACTTGAGGAACAAATTCTCATGGAGGCGATTTGGTACTCAGCCGATAAATTCCTTCGCAGTGAGGCAGTTATGCCAATAACAATCTATGGCCTTTATCTGTCCAGGTTTGTGTGCTCCGTACTTGGAGAATGAGAACACTGCAACACCAATAGGTAAGCCTTACATGTAAAGATGTTGGAGCAAATTACTACAGATGCTGGAATCTGTACTGAAAACAACAAATGCTCGAAATCACAGTGCGCCAGGCAGCATCCATGTAGAGACAGCAAGCTAACATTTCACATCTAGGTAACTCTTCACTAGATGTCTCTCGCATTAAAACAAATGTCCTCAAATTTAATGCAGTGATAGAGTTTAATGAATTTAGTTCAGCTAATGCCAAACAGCACCACATCAGGACTCAGAATGCATTTATATGTATTACAGCAAGGGAGAGCAACGCGTTTTTGCTTTCCCAAATTTTTACTGAACCCAGTTTTCAAGTCATTTGGTATTCTGATGTGAACATTTTTTTTAATAAGATTGCCCACAGAGAGTTTGGCACATAAATTGGTGAGACCATGATTATGTTGGAACTGGGGAGCAGTTGCATGACTCTCCATGAGTCAGAGAATAGCTGACTCTGTAGACTTCAGTTTAAAACACACTCTGTTGAACCTTGTTGTTGGGTTTTTTTAGAAGAGAAAATAATCAACAAGGTTGTTTACAAGAGATTGTAAAAAAATAGTACAAATATATAGTTGATTGTGCAAGACCCATTGTCACGATAACAAGCTAGTATGGCTTGGTCTCAGTAATGTGTGCTTAACCTGTCAAACAAGTTACCAGGCATCACACCACTGATTACGTCTGTAATTTCTTGATCTGTAGCTATCAATGCAACAAAACGCAAGATATATATTAAAGCATTGAGGGCTGTGTGAAACATTCTTTTATCTCAGTGAGTTAGAAGAAAATTTTAAAACATGGAAATAAAAATATAAGAGAGGTTTTAAAGTAAATGTACAAGCAGCCTTCCAATTTCAAACAAAATAGTGAAGTTATTTTTGCATAAAATAGTGATAAGAAATAACTTACAGGATAGCCATTCAGAGGCTGGAAATACAAATTTTGGTCTGTGATGCAGACATGCCCAGGATTAGAAACCAAAGGGGTGACCATTTCAGCCTCACACTCCATGTGAGGCCTTTCTGTTACATTCTGAAATCTACAAGAAACATCAGTTACTACTGATTGGCAAAATAAGAGATGGGTTAAAAAATACCATAACAGTAATGAGTTTAATATAAAAAATAGATAATATTTACAGTATAAAACTGTGGATCATAAAGTTTCTATTTTAATGTTGTATGAATTCCAGTGAGCTTTCTTTTCAAAAGCTGTTAGAGGATTTGATCACTCAAATGAGTCAGCAGCCATAAAACATTAACAACTTGTATGTAAATATTGCCTTAAATGTAGCAAAATATTCTAAGCGGATTCACAGTAGCTTGATCAAACAAAGGTTATCATTGAGGTGACATTTGGACAGTTGGCCAAATATTTGTCAAAGAGGAAGGTTTTTGAGTGCTGTAAAGGAGCTTGGAAGAAATGTAACAGCTTAGGTCCTACAAAGTAGAAAGACAAGCCGCCAGTTGTGAAAGCAATGAAAATCAGGAATGGCCAAGAAATCAGAATTGCAGTAGCGTGGAAAACAAAGTGTTGTAGGCTCGAAGAACGTTGCAGAGTTAGGGAGAAAGAAGTTTGAGGGCTCTGGGGACAAGTGTAAAAATGTTCAAATTGGGCCTTTTTCAGACTAGGAGCTAATTTAGATCAATGGCCATGGGACCAATGGACAAACAGGAGTAGCTGCAAGTTAGGCTGCTAGGCAGCATAATTTGTCCATCCCTAGTTTCCCTTGAGAAGGTGGTGGTGGGCTATCTTTTACACCGCCGACTGCAGCAGTTCAAGAAGACAGCTCACCACCAACTTCTCAAGGGCATCTATGGACAGGAAATAAATGCTAATATCCCATGGGAGAATAAAAACAATTGAGTACATTAAAATTCTTAACTTTAAGTTAATTTGAATTTACTCAACTTGACAGAGGAATAAATCAGGCTGCAAAAGTAATATTGGAACAATGGGAGATTGGTGGTATGCAAATACAGTTACTTTATTTAAAACAATGTTGATTTTTAACTGATAATTTGAAAATTAACTTCATGAGATAGAATTCGGTGCATACTCTGTAACACATATGATCTCATCTTCCCAGAAAGCTATCGCCGTTAGTTTTAACTTGGACTGTTCAGACAGTAAGGATCTTTCTTTAACCTCTTATACTGCCAGGGTAAATGGCTCATCTGACAGATTTGATTTTCGATGATTAGCAATTGAATTAACTAGCAATAAACATTCGTTGTTCACTGTCAAATAACAAATTTTCCTGTTTGAAAAAAAATCACATTATCCCAAAACTAGTTCAAACTTGAGACCGAGATGTGCCAGATTTCAGGTCGAATGGCTCAGGCCGTGGGCTGTTTGAATTGGAGAGTGGAAATAGACTAGTCTGGCACCATAACATGCCAATGCAGCACCCATCCAAATTGTCCCAATAAAGCTTTCTTTTCTGTTATTTAGACAACTCTGGATGTTGGACGGCTGGATTTGTAACACTAACTCTACTAAAAATGTTTTAAGACCACAAGAAGACCATAAGAAACAGGAGTAAGCTGTTTGACCCCTTCTGCCTGCTCTGCTATTCAACAGGATCCTCACGTCCACATTCCTACATTTTAAGATGCAGCAAAAGATATGGAAATAATAAAGGAAGACCAATTTAAATCAAATATTCTCAAAATAAAATTAGCAAGACGAGTAAACTATGCTTCAATAACTGGCTCTTAACTCGTCCCGCATTCATGATGCAGCAGTACAAATGTTTCAGAAATTATGAAGAAGTTGACTATTTCCACAATTCTACAACATATATCCAATCTTAAAGATTATTAAATAATACAATCACTGCATGGTTTTGGCAAAAAACTAAGTATTATTGTCAAGTACTATTAGCTCTCCCTGCCATAACTACTTGAATGGAAAGCTGGGAGATTGGCTTAGATAACGGAAACTTGTTTCAATTTTGTGCATTTGATCAGAAAATAGCTTCAACAGTCACACCATTAGGCGAAGTAGTTAACCATTTAACTATTAGAGCTCATGCACAATACCTGTTTTTATCAAATGAAATCCGAGCCAATCGAGATTGTAAAATAGCTGTGATCTGCAGTTGGGGAGTGGAAAGAGACAGCGAGACAGGCAGACAGACAGACAGATGGAGAAAGAATATGAAGTGAGAAACAGATTTCATACCACAATATGTATTGACACAACAGAACTAACATAATGAGTTAACATTAATTGACCAGCTGGTTTTATTGTTTATTGATCAAATTAAATGATATATTTAAAAAAAGTTAATGAAGCTACTTAATAATAAACATAAGCTCACCTTTCTGAAATTTAAAAATCTCATGTTCATTTAATTGCAATTCATGAACTTGAACACACCTTTAAATTTGAGCGAGTGTATTTTAGTTTTGCTGCTCCAAATCCAAGTAATCAGTTATTGAAAGTTAATATTCAACAAAACAAGTAGAGCTCTATCAATAATTATAAAAAGAAAAATGTATATTTTCATTTAGAAATCACTTACCATGGCAATCTGGTCTGCAATTTTGTCCAACTGAGAAGCTCTGTAAAGCTATGAAAACAACATTCATAATTGATTCATTTTAGTAAGTCATTATGATCTAAAGAAAAGCATTGATTAAAATGAACACAAAGCAAATAACTTTAGATCCTAACTAACGCTATACAAAACCAGTTAATCAAATTCCCAAAACAAGATACCATCATCATTTAAGGTGTTATCCGTCGATCAATGATAATCATCCATTAATATCAGATATAGCCAATATTTACATGCTAGTTCTGTTTTTAAAACTGTTATTGGTTAAGGCACTCACTCATGCCATATTAGCTATAAGGACATTAGTGTTAAAAGAACACTTTTAGGTTCTCCTTCCTAACTGGATAGCTGGATTTGAGTTAAGTTTAAATATGGATGTTACTAATGCATTGTAGAGAATTAACTGAAAATTTAGAACTTATATTCGTTGTTTTACGTGAAATACATTGTGTCGCAGAGTACAAATGCAATGTATCTATAGCTATAGGAAAAGAATCTTATTTGGACAAAACCATGTTGCCTAAGTAAATTGTATCACTGGTTCTACCGTCTTGAATGGATCGTCTTCTATTAGGACAGTAGCTGAAATGACGGAGAGATTATATTGTCAATGCTGATCTCACATTAATTTTTTTTACACTTTGTGATTATACAAGGTGGTGAACAGAAATGACATTTTACAAGGAATCACAGAATACCTCAAAGTACTCCAACATTTTACCTGAAGTAAACTTTGCACAACATCTTCTGCTTTTGAAATGTCATCGATCCTGAAAACATAGGTCTTTGGACCCTAGTTACAAAAGAGATTAAATTATTTAAACGACTCAAACTATTTTCAGTTTATTTTAAAATTCTCTTGGCCAGTTCACTAAAATAGGCCAGTACTCATCATTAACCGATTTGTCTTTCGGTATATGAACTGGATTGTACAATACTAGAAAGATTGAATCATCACGTTGCTTACTACAAACAAATGATTTAAAAATGGAAACATTGACAAATAAAGTGCAAATGCAAAGTTTTATTTCTGCCAAAAGCAACCAACTTCCTTGGAAGTTCACAACATGCCATTTTGAAGAACTATGAAGAAACAAATTAGATTTAGAAATTTTGCTGCTGCCTATCAAGTTATGGATACTATTTTGATTTAGATATACTGACCTCTTGTGGACTAATTTTATTACCAGAGATAACAAGGTGTAGAGCTGGATGAACACAGCAGGCCAAGCAGCATCAGAGGAGCACGAAGGCTGACGTTTTGGGCCTAGACCCTTCTTCAGAAA